CTCATAAAAACAACCTGCTTGCGGCCGCCGCGGCCGGAGGCGGGGTCTGAGCGCGGCGCATGCCGGGAGATGCAGTCCCGCTCGCGCTCCGAGCCAGGCGCCTATGACCCAACGAACTACAACTCCCAGGTATATGCAAACCACCGGAAGTCGCCGGGCTGCGGACCTCACAACATCCGGGCCCCGAGCCGGACCAGTTGCTAAGGAGACGGCGGCAAGCGCCGGAGAGAACGCACAGCTTTCCGGACCCGGCGGACAGGGTCCGCAGAGCGGATCCTCCCCGGGCGCCCTCCGCCGGACCTGGCCTGTTGTGGCGGGAAGGACTGCACTGGCCCGAGGAATCAAGCGGGAGGATGGCGTCTAGGCGGGTCTGTGCCGGCCGAAGGGCCCAGCGCAGAAATCCTTCCAGGCGGCCGTGGAGCTTTGCACTTGGCAAACCTAGGCGCAGGGTTCTGGAGGTGGAGAGGGGCGGAGGGCGCAGTTCCGCCTTGTGCAACGCCTCCAGGACTCTTTCGGGCAAAACAACAGAAAGGGAAGCGGGCCGTGCGTGGTCGCTCAATCCTGCTATCCCTGCACTCTGGGAGGCTGAGGCAGGAGCGTCACAAGTTCCAACCCCGCCTGGGCAACTTAGTCACCATGAGTGCCAATTTCAAAATAAAGCAAACAAATGGCTGGGATGCAGCACAGTGTTAAGGCCCTGCGTTCAAGTCCCAATACCGAAAAAAAAAAAAAAAAAAAAAAAAAAAAAAAAAAAAAAAAAAACATTTCTGGTTAGAACTCCACATTGCAAAACAATTTTGCTGAGACGCTAACTGGAATTTAGGGTGAACTGGATTATGCTGAACGGAGCCTGGCTAAAGAAACCCAAACGTGAAAAAACATTTTTTTTTTTTTTTGGTACTAGGATGGAACTGAACCTTGCGCTTTCAAGGCAGGTGGCGGAACCCCGACCCGCCAAACTTGAAATTCTAAAAGTTTTGTGCTCTCAAACTTGACAAAATGCTGTGCCTCTAGAAAACTTTTTCTCTTGGGGGGGCTAAGTGATACTGGGGATTGAACCCAGGGCCTCTACCAAAGCTACATTGACTGGTGTGATCTGTACAACGGAGGAGGATAGACTTAACTCACAGCCTTCATAGCTTCAGGGCTGGTGAGGTGTGTCAGATTTCAGTATTCTGATAGATGTACCTGAAGTCTCAGGATGTTAAGTCAGATACCGGTTTTTGGCAAGTGGCTATTGAAGGAGTAAAGACAGCCCGAGATAAGCCTGCAGGCTGAGGCTGGAGGATCTACCACATTGGTGGAGATATTCTAGTCTGATGTTCCACTCAGCCAAGGTCCAGTAGTCTGCAGGATCTTAAAGGTAGAGGACATTGCCAGCCCAAAAGTAAACATTCTTACCTTCTTTTAGAGTTGAAGAAATCCAGATTATGTGATGGCTAGTTTTAGGATTTTTGAAAAACCTCAGCCTCACTACAAGTCTACTGTAGAGTCTTAAAAAGAATAGAATTTTAATTCATATAAACATTGATGTTTCCAGTCATATTTAAATTGCCTGGTAGTGATCTCAGCACAGACTGAAGTAGGAAGACAAATTTCCAGCCCAGCGGGGTGTGTGTGTGTGTGTTAGCTACTTAGCTAACTTGCTCAGGATTAAAAATGACTAGGGACAGTGGATGTGGTAGCACACACCTGTGATCCCAGCACTTGGGAGGCTGAGGCAGGAGGATCGCTGTGAGTTCAAGACCAGTCTGGGCTACATAGTGAGTTCCAGGTCAGTCTCAACTACACAGTGAGACCCTGCCTCGAAAAACAAACAAAAAATAACTAGGGACAGAGCTGAATGGAAGAGGCCCTGAGTCCATCCCCGGTACCACACAAAAGCTGCAGGAGTAACCCTTCACCATGCTCCACAGTGTTCCCAGCCGGGGTGGACAAATACAGTACAAGTTTCCCAGTGAAACTGCTGGCTGCTCCGTGATCCACAAGGCCCTACAGCCTGTTGCTCGCTCTCCAAAGCCCCACCTGCCTCATTGGCTTCCCAAGGCCTCCTTAGCTCCTGACCATGGTCTGCTGGCCAGACAGAGTCCCAGGAGGTTCCCTGATCGAGTCTCAGAAAAAGGGTTTTCAGGATGCATCAGAAGCATCGAGGGGGTTATTAGGCAGAAATCAAAAGTATTTCTTGAAAGACAGACAATGCAGGCCCTCTTAGAAGCTTGCTGCAGTTCGGAGTTGGGAATCTTGATGTTTGGGCGTGGAAATCTGCAGCTTTGTCAATCCCATTTTCAGGGTATAGCAGCCCACCAGTTACGTTTTTAGGTAGTGATGGAAGATGCTTTGCCTGAGTCATTCTGTGAACTCTTCAGTCAGTTCCCTTTATCACCCTTACAGGATTTGGGTGTGATAGGCCTAGAAGAAAAGCATAGACCAACCTAGACAGAACTGATATGAATGACCTTGAGTGACTGCTGGATGGAGTCCCAGTCTTCCTTTTTATAACTGTTTTGTTTTCTGAGACAGGGACTCGCTATGCAGTTCAGGCTGGCCTGAACACTGGGTGATCCTCCTGCCTCAGCCTCCCCAGTGCTGGGATCACAGGTGTGCACTCAGAAAGTGATGTTTATTTGGTGGAGCTGAGGCTTACCCCAGGTCTCGTGGTGCTAGGCAAGTGCTGTACAGTTGAGCTATGTGCCCAGCCCTGTTTACATCGCACCGCCTCTTCAATGTGCTAAGAATGTGTGTGTTTCAGAATTCAAATAAATAAGATTAGACTGGGATCACAGGTATGGAACAGGTTCAGTATGCAGGTTCATGATGCAGATCAGGACGGCCTCCAACTTGCAGCTTTCCTCCTGACTCCTAAGTGCTGGGGTCACCTTCGAGTGCCAAGCCAGGAGTTAAAAACTATACTTTTAGGGCTGGGCATTTAGCTCAGTGGTTCCGCTGCCTGCCTTGTGAGCCAAGGTCTGAGTTTGAGCCCTGGTACAAAAGAAAAGAAAAAATTGTACTTTTAAGAAAACTGTGGGGCTGAGCTGGTGGCACATGCCTGTGACCCCAGCACTTGGGTTCAAGGCCAACCTGGACTACATAGCAAGACCCTGTCTCAAAACAGCCCCCAAAATGCCACTTTTGAGTTACAATTTCCTTGTTTCCTGTCCACCGTCCTCAGTTCCGTACTCCCTCAGCTGCCTCCACCTGTCAGGAGCAGGAGGCCCAGTGCTCCAGTGAGGCTGGGAGTAGCAGCGGGGCCTCCAAGTGCTGGGGAAGTCCACACCCCAACCCCAACAGCTCCCTGCAGCTACAGCGCCAGGGCAGGAGCTGCAGCAGCACCCTGGAGGAGGAGCAGCCCCAGGGAGGGGGTGGGGAGTCTGGGGACCTACACTGGGACTAGAAATCCGGCTCTGCCAGGGCTCACCAAAGGCTGGGTGTGAGGGGCCACCCAGCCTTTGTGTCTAGTTAATTAGCACGGCTGAAAGATTGAAGTGGCCTTAAAGATGGCTCTGTCACAGCTAGACATTAGCACACACCTGTAATCCCAGCACCATGGGAGGCTGAGGCAGAAGGATCTCAAGTGTGAGCCCCACCTGGGCAAGTTAGTGGTTTAGCAAGGCCCTAAAAAGGGATGGGGATGTAGTTCATTGTGAAAGCCTGGGTTCAGTTCCTAGTATTCAACAAAAAGTTTAAAGGGGAAAAAAATAATTCTTGGGTTGAATTTTTTTGATAGAATCTTCAAAGGCCACTGTGATCAAAAAACTTTTCAAAAGTATTTAAACTAGGTGTGGTCACTCATGCCTCCAACTGGGCAGCACTGGAGGCTGTGGCGAGTGGGGGGGATGCAACTCCCAGACCTGCTGGAGTCTGAAGCTTGAGTTCGTGTTCTCTAAAATCAAAGAATGAATTATAGGAACAACGGAGGTTAAGAGTAGGAAAGTTTTTGTCTAAGAGAGACAGACGTGGGTCGGGAAAGCGGGCTGCCTGCTCCCCCCGCTTCTCAAAGGTGTTTTATGGAACAGAGCCATGAGGTGAGGCAGGTTCAAGGTGGGACAAAACTGTAGTCAACTAGTAGGATTATAAGTACAGTCACTGGTGACACTGATCCAGTGAGAAATCACAAAGTGGACAAATCTATGATCAACCAATGAGATTATGACAAGTGTAGTGGTTTAGGTGATACCGATTAAATGGGGATCCAGTGGGGAACAAGTCACAGCAAGTGTACAAGGAATGAGCAGGATTTTGGGTGGTAAGAGTGGGTCAGGGATCTTTCCGGAAAGATCTTGGTCCCCACCCAGGTGATCATACCTATTTAGAATATTGGTCACTACTACTCATCCTTAGGGGAAGTATATGGGTGTGGTATTTTCTCTTTTTACCATGCTGACCTTCAGTGACGGTGTCATGGTTGTCCTCCATGTTGGCTCCTCAAAGCCCAGTCCTGTCTAACTGCCTACAAGATATCTAATTAACTTACCTATCTACAGTAAGAGGGGCACAGGCTCAAGTCCAGCCCGGGCAATTTAGCAAGACTCAGAATTTTAAAAGGGCTGGGGATGTAGCTCGGTGTGAAGGCCCTGGCTCAGTCCCCAGCTCAGTCCCCATGGCTGCAAGGGGAAAGACCACAGCAATTGACAAACAGTGTCAGCCAGTGCCTATAATAAAGAACAAAATGGGCTTTGCATTTTCTCATGGAATGTGAAGGCACCAGAGTCTGGATTCGGTAAATCTAAAGGAAGATTATCAGCTGGTAGCACCATCTCAGTGTCTCTTTGCCTCAGAATGTGGAAAGTGGAATGCCCAACACAGTGCAAAGGGAGGGCAAGTTACCCCACAGCGCACAGCTCGCAGAGGAGCAGCCCTGGCACAGTCCTGACAGTGTGTTCCCTCGTGATTAAAAGGAGGCAAACCCCAGACCTGGAGGTGCAGCCATCACCTAGCACTTGGTGGCGGGAGCTGAAGGGGTCAAGGAACCTGGATTGGTGTGTCTTTTTTTGTTTCTTTTGTACCAGGGATTGAACTGGGGACCTTGCTCTTATGAGGCAGGTGGCAGCACCACTAAACTGAATCCCTGGCCCTCTTTGGGGGCGGGGGCATGGACTCATTATGTAGTTCAGGCTGGCCTCGAACTCGTGGCAAAGCTTCTGCCTCAGCCTCCCAAGTGCTAGGATTATAGGCATGCGCCAGGTGTGAGTCTTTCAAAGTGGTATAAACCAGGGGTGGTAGTACACACCTGCAATCCCAGCACGCTGAGGCTGAGGCAGGAGGATCACCCTGAGTTCAAGGCCAGCCTGAACTAGTGAGACCCTGTTTTGACAAACAAAACAAAACTTTTGAAACAGGGTCTTACTAATTGCCCAGGCTGGCCTCAAATTTATGGTCTTCCTCCCTCGGCCTCTCAAGCAGCTAGGATTACAGGCCTGTAGCACCATGCCCAACCATGACAGAATTTCTTTTGGGTAGAATTCAAAACTAAAATTTCAGGGTTCCAAGTCATGATGGCGGGGTGGGGGGAGGGTGCCTGGGTTCGAACCCAGAGCCTACAGCATGCTGGGATCGAGGGGTGGTCACACTTGCCCAGCTTTTCAGGAGTGGCCGGTTCCCTGCCATAAGCCTGTGAGCCCTTGCAGGGCTCCTGGTGGCCCCGCCTGGTGCAGCCTTCACCTGATCCGGGTCTCACAGCAGCACTGTGCCAGGGAGTCAGTGGAGGAATGTAAGTTTGATCTGCTTCTGCGCTATCTTCTGCCTGGCTGAAACCCTTCCCATGTATTAGCGAATGGTGGTGCTGCTGGGTTGGTCTGGGGGTTTGTCACTGGCCTTTAAGAGGAGTTTGGGCAGTGCTGGGAGCTGAGCCCAGGGCCCTGTGTACTGGACTGGTGCTCCAGCTCAGTGCTGGGACCTCAAATTCAGCACGACTGAGACCCTGGAGGGCAGCCCTCCTCAGCTCGGGACAGCCGCACGCAGCTCTGGGCCCCGACCCTGCTGGCTGCGATGCCCACCACCTCCTGCCGGGCTTCGCTTGCTCGGATTTCCCGAGCCTTTGCCAGATGCTCAGAGCCCCGACCCACAGCACTTACCACAAACTCATTCCATTCGCTGTATGCTTATCCGCTTCATGCCTGTCCACTATAAAAACGGAATTGAAGGCCGGGGTTTTAGGTCAGTGGTACCGCCTGCCTCGCAAGCGCAAGGTCCTGAGTTCGATCCCCAGAACCAAGACAAAACTGAATTGAACTTCCACGTCCAACTGTGATTTATTACAGATTTTCGCAATGATTCACAAAATTTTAAGACATTTTCAAGGTATTGATAAAAGACATTTTTTTTTCATGGCACTGGGAATTAAACCTAGGGCCTTCACACTGCAGTACATTCCAGCCTTTTTTTATTTTGAGATTGGGTCTTGATACATTCCTAAACTGCCTAGACCGGATTTGAACTTGTAATCCTCCTGCCTCAGCCTCCCGAGTGCTTGGATTCCAGGCATGCGCCACCATGCCCAGTTTAGTATAGCTTTTTTTTTTTTTTCTTGTAACTGCCTAGACCGGATTTGAACTTGTAATCCTCCTGCCTCAGCCTCCCGAGTGCTTGGATTCCAGGCATGCGCCACCATGCCCAGTTTAGTATAGCTTTTTTTTTTTTTCTTGGTTTTTTGAGACAGGGTCTCACTATGTAGTTGACACTGACCTGGAGCTCACTATGTAGCCCAGGCTGGTCTCGAACTCACAGCGATCCTCCTGCCTCAGCCTCCCGAGTGCTGGGATTATCGGCGTGTGCCACCATGCCCAGTTTAGTATAGCATTTTTAAAAAACTGCTTCAAGTTTGCTGTGTACACATGAGTCATTTACTACAGGTGCATTCTTCAGTGCTTTCCAACCAGAGCCCCAAATGGAGCGATTCGGAACATTTCTTTGTTCTGTGATTGCTAGGCTTCCTGTGTTTGCCTTGTAGGACGAGAGGACTTCAGACGCAGAAATGAAGGCTGCATCGTGGCCTCCGTGTGTGAACCCAGGCAACCCCGTGTTCTCCTGCATGTTGGACCCAAAGACGCTGTGCACGGCCACCCCTGCCTCGCAGCCCCGCATGATCATGTACAGGACCAGCAACAGCAGCCATGGGGAAGCCATGCCGATGCCGCCATTCCTGCCCTGCACCTACACCCCAAGAGTGCAGGTGTTTTCCAGCCACCTCAGAGCGACGGGACTCTACCAGAACCACGGTCTCAACACGGCGCCCGACAGAACCAGAGCCCTTGATTTCCCCAACTTTCAGCACACTCTATGAAAGTATATTCCTTTGACAACTTAAGGGGAAAAAAACCCAGGAACACGAGGTGCAAATCCAAGGCTAGAATACCTAGGGTAAAAGCACAGAGATTTGAATAAGTGAAATACACTTTTAAGAAATAAAGAAATTTTCATGTGATAACTGAGTGACAGTGACTTTTTCTCCTTTCTTTTTTCAGATAGGGTCTCGTTGTGTAAGCCAGGATGGCATGGAGTTCACAGTCCTCCTGCCTCAGCCTCCCAGTGGCCTGGGTTACACAGTTCAGGGTCTCCTTGAGTCTACATGTCTGTGCTGGGCTCAGACTTGTGACCCTGCTGGCTCAGCCTCCAGGTGTGGCTCTACCTGAATGTGCTATCTTTGTCTTTCTTCCAGGGTTGGGAACCAAACAGGCTTCGAGCAGGCTCCATACCTCTGAGCTGCACCTCAGCCCTTTTTATTTCTTTTGTTTTGAGATGGCGTCTTGCTGAGTGGCCCTGGCCAGGTTTGAACTTGTGGCCCTCCTGAGAGCTGGCCATTTGCATTTTTTTTAGAGGGTCTCACTAAGTGGCCCAGGCTGGCCTTGAACTCACAGCAACCCTCCTGCCTCCACCTCTGCCTCTGCCTCCGTCTCCTGAGAGCTGGGGTCCCAGCGTGTGCCAGCTGTGCTTTATTCTTTCTGCTTTCTTTGGCCCTTCTGAGGTGGAAGCCGCCTTTTTGCTCATTTACCGAGACTCACTATCTTGTAAACAGCCCAAGATCTATGCACTAAATGATCTTAGTTTTGTTCTTTGAAAACAGCCAAAGTTTTTGTTCTGTTTTTACAACAAAGTTGAAGGTAAGGTTTTCTCAGCAGAGTAGTTGTTTTTGCAGCAGGTGGGCACAAGGTCGTAAAGAAACAGCAGGCTCTGAGTGTGTGTGGGTCAGAGTAGGAGCTATTACAGAGGGGCTTCAGAGAACACAAGCACTCCCTGGAAGATTCCACAGTGTGAACTACTACTCAGTATGTGTCCCGGCAACCACAGCAACGGCTCTGTCCCAAAAGCCACCGTAATTTGATAACAGCAACAAACAATGTGCTACAGATACATATAATTATGCGGTCATTCTTGTTTGGAAATGATGTAATGCAAACTCTTCCCTTTCCACAGACGTGTCACATGTAGCCCTTACAGGACTCAGTATTAAACAGCTCATGGACTGCACAATCAGCTACAGTATGTCCAAAGATTCCCAAAGTCTCCAGCTCTGTTTCGTTGAGACTGAATCTCGTTATATAGCCCAGACTGGCGTGGAACGCTAGATCGTCCTGCTTCAGCCTCCTAACTGGTACAATCAGAAGGGTGCGCCACCATGCCGCGCTCCTCCTTTTGAAAAAGTACCTTGAAAACCTGGTCCTAAGCACTCAGGGTGACGTTGGCGCGGTTCCTTGGAGTACGTCCCGAATCTTCTCAGCATCCTTCCGCACAGCTGCGTCAGCTGGGTTGATCCTAAGAGCAGCTTCGTAGTCCTGCAGGCCTGCATCCATGGCAACAGCAGCCAACAAAACCAAGACTTTCTGAGTACTGAGCCCGACATTTCACAATGAGCGGGTTTTACATCCGTTCCCACCCTCCCATATGACAGTACTCCTACAGGGTCATAGGCTTCTTCCACGATTCAGAGAACAGTTACCATCTCACTCAGGGCTCAGAAAGAAGCAGCTATTTATTTACTTTATTTATCGTACTCGGGATTGAACCCGGCCCGTTGTCTTCTAATTGTGGGACAGGGTCTTGCTCAGTCACTAAATTGCCAGGCCTGGGCTAGAATTTGTGATCCTCCTGCCTCAGCCTCCCAGGTGCTGGGACTACAGGGACGCCCTCGGGAGCACTTCAGCAAGGCCTCCAGAAAGGAAAGTGGGAAGACAGCCTGAAGGCCATCGGGCTGCTAGCCCAGGTTCGCCAGGGCAGCACAGTAACTACAGGTAAACCCGTGAGCCCTCAACACCTGAGGCCCAGTTAGGGCCCTTCAGTCAGGCAAGCCCTGGGTTTGCTCCTGGTGTGGACTAGCTCATGAGCTCGCACCTGCACCTGTGCCTACAGGATTTGGTTACCCCACACATCCGCTAGGGAACGCTGTCTTACAACACAGCATTTTCCTAGACCTGAACTCATGGCTCATGCCTTGGTTTACCCACTTCTACAAGCTGCCTTTTTCTGTTTGCTTTTTCCTTTGTTTTTGAGACAGGATCTCTCTATGTAGCCCAGGCTGGCCTTGAACTCCTAGCGATCCTCCTGCTTCAGCCTCCCAAGCGCTGGGATTACCACATGTGCTTCCACCCCAGCTAAATTTTTAAATTTCACTTATTTCCTCATCTACTCACGTATGAGGTGCTGGGGTCTGAATCATGGCCTTGAACATGGTAGGCATGTGCTTTACCACTGAGCTATAGCCTTAGTCCTACAATAAATTTTTTAAAGATATAATTCTGGCCAGGCATGGTGGCAAACGCCTGTAATCCCAGCACTGTAAGAGGCTGAGGCAGGAGGATCATGATTTCAAGCCCAGACTGGGCAATTTAAGAAGACTTAGCTCAAAATAAAGAAAGGCTGGGATGCAGCTCAGTGCAGAGGCCTTGGCTTCAATCCCCAGTCCCACGGTCAATTCAATCAATAAAATTTCAAAAGCTATTTTTAATTTTTGATAACTTTAAGAGTAAAACAAGGGCCGGATATTTAGCTCAGTGGTTCCAGCGCCTGCCTGGCAAATGCAAGGACCCGAGTTCGATCTCCGGTACCAAAAAAAACAAAAAACAAAAAACAAAAAAAAGAGTAAAACAAATGCTGAAATTATAAAATCACGCAGTCCTCAAAGTCCCTATCTGAAAGCACCTCTCTCCGCCTCTCACCTTCCGCGTACAGCTCCAGCTGGCAGAACGCGGCTCCCCGGCGGACGTGCGCTTTCATTCTGGCAGCGGCATTGTCTGCGACGGGCGGGGTGAGCAGCGCCAGAGCCTGGCGAAAAGCAAACAGCCGTGAGCCGGGGGAGCACGCGGCCTCCGGGCGGCACTTGTCCGGGGTTCTGTGGTCTGTGCGTCCTCAGCACCGGGACCTGAACCAGGGCCTTGGCCCTGCTCTGCAGCCCAGCCCCTCTTTTATCTCTCATTGTGAGGCAGGTTCTCGCCTCAAACGTGGCCCAGTTTCACAGCTGGAACGTGCAGCCCTCCCGCCTCAGCCTTCCAGAGTTCAGGAATGACGGATGTGTGCCACTGCGCCAGCCATAGCTTCCAAATGGAAATGTAAGAAAAACACAGCAAAAAAAAAAAAGGCCCAAGCTCTTCCCCACCTAAATTTTTGGTGTAGCTGATACAAGAATTTATCAAAAATATATATTTACGTGGAACAATTTAAGGAACTGTTTGGTTGTCCCTGTAGATTGGTAGCAGCCCCAGGGCTCAGTCTGGCCGATCCTCTGAAATCTCAGCACACTGCCAGGCGTGGTGATGCACGCCTGTGATCCCAGAGCTCAGGAGGCTGAGGCAGGATCAATCCCATCTCAAAAACAAAACAGCCACCCAAAGAAAAAGCTGCAGGAATCTAAGACAGTTCTACGATTATAACAACAATCCGTTTCTCCCAGCAGCCCAAGCATGCAAGGCAAGCACTGTAGCACTGAGGTCAGCCTGCAGCCCCTCCAAGAAATACTACAGGGGCAGCCAAGACACAACACTGGCTGAGTCAGGCCGATTCGGAGAAAGCGGCAGAGATGACGAAGGAAGGGCGCGCACTGCTCCTCGGAGAGCTTTCACAGCACCAAGGGTGCAGTTGTCACAACGCGCTAATTTCCTTGTGGATGTCCGCTGACAAAGGCACTGTGGCGCCTGATCTTACTTGAAGCCTCAGACACACACCAGTCCTGGGTCTGTAAAGCAGCAATGAGCTGTCATGGGGGAGAGGGTAGCCAGGGGTGGGGCGCCAGCCTGGCACCATGATGCCCAGGGCTCAGCCCCTAGCACCACCAGATAAGTAAATAAACTTACACTTTTAGCTGGGTATGGCGGCACGAACCTGTCATCCCAGCACTGGGAAGCAGCAGGATCTCTGAGAGTTCAGGCCAGCCTGGATTACACACAAGGGACTTCAAGGCCAGTCTGAACTACACTGTGAGAACTCCTTTCAAAAAACACAAAAAGAGATGTAATAAAGCAAATCCATTTTTAAAAGCTTCGCATCTCTACTGTTTAGGAGAAAAAAAACTCACTTAATTTTTGTGTGTGGTGCAGAGGGCTGAACCCAGGCCCTCACACATGTTAAGCACTCTACCAACAAGCTACATCTTGCCAAAGAACATCATTTAGACCAATAGATACAGGACAAGAAAAATTATTTTTCTGAGACAAGGTCTCACTGTATAGGCCTTGAACCGGCCTTAAACTCACCGTGTAGCCCAGGCTGGTCTCAAACTTGAGGATACCCTCCTGCCTCAGCCTCCAGAGCGCTGGGAATACAGGCATGTGCCATGATGCCCGGTGAGGATAAGAATGCTAAAGCACCACGTATAAATAAACACAGAGATACGAATATACCTTGGAAGCGTCCTCGATGGCCTTGTGCAAGTTTCTCAGTTTGAGGTGGCCGGCAGCCCGATTGAGATACAGCACGGGCAGCTTGTTATTCAGCCGTATGGCTAAACTGTACGCATTAATCGCCGCCAGGAAGTTTTCTGTTGCAAACAATTTGCTAAGGAGACAAAACCAGAAGCGACAATGTAGCAGTGGCACAGACAGAGGCAGCACTGGAAGGCCGGCCGGTCACACCGCCCTCCGCTCACTCAATGGCCATGGGGCGGCCCCTCATCCCCCCAATGAGGCCGGGACTGTGCTGTCAGACAGCAAAGCCCTGGGGAAACTTCTCCCCCTGCCGGCCGTGGTCGAGAAGGCGACAGCCCAGACTCCTCTCCCTCCAGAGAAGCTGCAGTTAGCAAAGCTGGTCAGTGAGCACGCTCGGATCAAACGCACACAGAAACCCTGCCCTGTGCGACAGACAGACAGACGGACACGGGAAGCTGCCCCCCCCCGTAAACTTCGCCAGGCGTCTGGTTACCCGCGACCCGCGAGTCCCGCCAGCACCAGGCTGCGTCAGCCGCACCCGAGTGGAGGAGGGCTCGGGGCCAAGGAGCGCCCTGCGCAGGGAGGGAGGCACCTGCGCCCAGGCAGGAACCCGTGCTTTCGGGAGCTCCCGTGGACAGAACCAACAGGATGCAGGCGGTCACCGCCACTGAGCACACTGCAGTCCAGGGCGGGCACCTGGGTGACCTATCGCCTGGTGACGCCAAGCCTGCTGGTCTTGAAGTCACGATGCTCGCACAAGGACGAAACCGCCAATGCAGACCTCGTGGTTCATATTTGTAACCCAGCACTCGGGAGGCTGAGGCAGGAGGATCGCTGTGAGGTCGAGGCTAGCCTGGGCTACAAAGTGAGTTTAAGATGGGCCTGAGGGCCGGGGATTTACCTCAGTGGTTCCCGCGCCTGCCTCGCAAGCGCAATGACCCAAGTTCTATCCCCCATACCAAAAAATAAAAAATAAATAAAGACCAGCCTGAACTGCATAGAGACCCTGTCTCAAAAAAAAGGCAAAACTATAACAACAAAACCAACTAGTGATTCATATGCATCTCAAGGCCCTAGAAAAACAAGAGCAATTCAAATCTGAAATTAATGGAAGACAGCAGAAATTAATGAAATTGAGACAAAAAAACACAAGGCTCAATGAACCGAAGAGTTGGTTCTTTGAAAGGGCAGGAGGAGACCTGGGGGAACAGAGGCGGGGGCGGCACAGGTGTCCCCAAGCACCACAGCACCCCAGTAAGGGGGGAGTGGAAAGGCCCTCCTGGGAGGGAGTAGAGAAGCCCGGGCCAGCCAACAACACAGCCTCCCCCAGGCGAGACTGACCGCCACCCTGGAACTCACTGGGCTTCTGACACGTGTGTGTGGACTGTGCCACAAGCTGGGGTGCTCTGTTATGAGGTATCAATAAGATCCACAGCACTGTTGCTGGGTGTGGCCCACGCCTGTAATCCCAGCACTCGGGAGGCTGTGAGTTCGAGACCAGCCTGGGCTACATAGTGAGTTCCAGGTCAGTCTCAACTACATAGTGAGACCTTGTCTCAAAACACCAAAAGAAAAAAAATCCACAACACTATGATCTCCAACTGCCACTCTTCAGATTTTGTTAACTATATTAAAATATTCGCACATGGGCTGGGCGTGTAGCTCAGCGGCACTGCAGTTACTTGGCAAGCACAACTTCCTGAGTTCAATTCCTGGTACCAAAAAAAAAATGTTCACACAGAAGCCGGGCTTGGTGGTACATACCTGTGACCCCAGCACTCAAGAGGCTGAGGCAGGAGGATCTCGCCATGAGTTTAAGGCCAGCCTGGCCTACAAACAGAGACCCTGTCTAAACAAACAAAAAAAGTCACACAGAACAACAAAAAAAATGACAGCTTGGATATAAAAAAGATTCTTTATGAGGCCAGGGATTTAGCTCAATGGCGCTGTGCCTACCTCACAAGCAAAAGGCTGAGTTCAATCTCTGGTACCAGAATAAAAAAGAAAAGGAAAACGAGCAGATTTGTTTGAAAAAGGATAGTAATGTCAATTTTCTAAAAATAGATGTGAATACTAACATCTCTAGTATTAGAAACACCTGTTTCTAAGAGAGGCATCAGGAAGGATTATGTTAAACACAAAAGCGATTTTTTTTGTTTGGTCGTTTCTTGAGATAGTCTCACTTAGCTCAGGCTGGCCTGGAACTCATGGAAATCCTCCTGCCTCAGCCTTCCGAGTGCTGGGATTACAAGTGTGCACCAGCATGGCTGGCTTACAAAAGGGACTTTTGAGAGATTTTAGTGAACACGCCAAATAATGTGATATTTCTCATTTTTAGGACACTTAGGTGCACAAATGACTGTCACACGTAGCCATGGCATTGCTGGCCTTTTCAGGACAGAGGCCCTGCTGCCTGGTCACTTGCCCGCCACCAAGCACACCACACATGCACGCGCAGTGCTGAAAACCTTGCTGGGATCCACTCCGACTCTACACCAGCCACGCACCGCCTGGCGAGCTCAGATCACTTACTTTCCTTTTTCCCTCAACCAATCGGGGCTCTTCTCTTCTTCTTTTAAATCACACAACTCAGGAACACCGGCGTTCAGGGCTCTCTGCGCCTGGGCCTGCTTGTGCAGCCACTGCAATGAGACTGGAGCTGGGGGCGTGGTTCGGGTTCCTGAGTGATGCTCTGACAAAACCCCGCCCTGCAGCTCGGGCTGGCCTGTGTGCACGCCTGTGGGGACGGCACCTGAGGACACACACGGTCACACTCTGCTCGGGTCACCTCCCAATGCCCTGGCAGCCTCAGCCTCCAGGCGCGGCAGGGACAGGTGTGCGGTCCCCAAGCTCGCAGCTTGGGAAGGGGCTCCAGCTCAAGCTCCCATGCTGTCCTCCAGCTGCTGCCTGACCCTGCTCGTGTCCTCATTGGGGAATTAATTAACTCACTGGCGAAGGGCTGCGTGGGCTAAACAGACCCCTGTCCTGGCACCTCCCGGGGAGGCTTGGTCCTCACAACTACGTAGCCCAGGCTGTCCTCCAACTCGGTGATCCTCCTGCCTCAGCCTCCCAAATGCTGGGATTACAGCACCACCATGTCCAGCTCCTGTCTGAAGTCTACAAATATATTATGGAAAATGATGTATCTGATAAAATAAATGCCACGTGCAACAGTTAATCGCTTTGAATAGGCAACAATACTGTATATTAAACCAGTGTTCTCTCAGTAGTATTCTGAGCCAGCCGGGCCTGGCAGCACCCAGCTATACTCACAGCACTTGAAGGCTAAGTCAGGAAGATCACCATGTGTTGGAGGCCAGCTTGAACTGCACAGTGAGACCTTGTCTCAAAAAAAAAAAGTATTCTGAGCCCCCAAACCGACAAGATACACTTTGTCTTGAGCAGACACTGAAATGTATTACAGTGTAGCATCACAAGCGTATACGGCTCACAGCGAAGCCAGCATGCCCACCGACCCTCACCTCCTCCTCCTGGGCAGCCTGAGACTCCCGCACGGCTGTGGGGAACACGCGTGGTGTGAAGCTGACCTCCACGCGGCCGGCCCGGCGTGGTGTGGGGATGTGAGCCCCCTCCGGCTTCTCAGCAAATATGTCTGCAGGGCTTCTTCCTTCGGAAGCACAACATCGAAAGCACTTTATTTACTGTCCTCTGGTCAGCAAATGGACTTCAAATAATTAGACATCCATGCCAATTCTAAAACCCTAAAAAAACCAAGTATCTCTTCTGTGACGAGGAGTATAAAGCCCCTCACTGGAGGTACAGCAGCTGTCTCTGTTTCCCGGAGTCTGACAAACGTTTGGGTTACTTTAGTGAAGGCCTCGGCCCACTTCCCCTCCTCACCTTGGCCTGAGGTCAGTATTTCACTTGGGCCGATGAGAGAATACGCAGAAGAGCGTCTGGGCCAGGGATGAAAGGGAGTCTGGTCTGGCGAGGCCCCCAAAGAAAAGAACGTGTGTGCAGCAGACGTCACCAGAGGGCAGGAACCAAACTAATTTTACAACACAGGGCAGCGCGAGAGCGCAGAGCTCAAGAGCTGTGTGCCCTCTTCTGTCAGCCCTTCGGAGACACACTGAGACGAGACAGCTACGCGACCTTGCCTAGCCCTGTGTACCTGCGTGGTCCCCGTGCTGACTTATTATTATAACAAAGTCTGTCCTGTGCCTGCGCTAACCGACAGACTGTGTGTCGCCTTGGACGCAGACGCCCCGGCTTTGACATGTCTGCCAGTTGCCCCTCACAAAGAGGATTTTTTTCTGAGACAGGATCTTGCCATGCAGTTAAGGCTGGCCTTGAACTCACTATGTAGCCTAGGCTGGTCTTGAACTTGCAGAGATCCTCCTGCCTCAGCCTCCCAAGTGCTGAGATGACAGGCCTAGGCCACCATGTCCAGCTAAGACAAGCCTATTTTACAAAGAGTAAAATGGACAGTTTGCCTACATACATAAAAGTAAGTTAAATTCATGCATCTTGATATAATTAAATCATATAAGAAGTAATAGTTCTATATATATTTCCATTGTTTTACTTGAGGCTTAATCTTGTCAGGGATGAAATCTCCGGTGGAAATGTTTACAGGAACTCAAGTAATAAACAAAAACCAAGAGGAGAATGTTCAAAATACTGATTTACTTTGAGAGCAAGTGGCTGTTCTTTGAAGACTAAGGAAAGTACACAAGACCACTTAGGTGAAGTGGGCTATTTCAAATACTTGGTATTTCCCATAAAAACTTTAAAGAAAATTTAATTTTTTTGTAAAAGAGCTAAGCATTTGTATCCATTGGTAGTAATGCGATACTTAATATATAAAACAAATGCCTATAAGGAGAAAGAGCTAAATCTCTGGCCCTCTATTCTAATTTTATCTAAATTTACTCGCAGTCAATAGTCCAGTAACATTTTCCTGTCAGTGCAATACTCCTCTTATCTATGTTCCTAGTGGTACAGACAGCCAAGTTAGTTAAAAGAAATTATAAGTCCCCCAAAAAAAGGTATATACACACACACACACACACACACACACACACACACACACACATATTATAGGGCAGTCAGGCAGTCAGGCAGGTCTGGGCCTGCAGCCCAGAAAACAGTTGAGACACATTTACTAAAAGGTCAGGATTCAAAAAGGAATCCTACTACACCCACATACTCCCCTAGGGATGACAGCAGTGATGGATATTCTAAACAGGCATCAGTCACCTTGGCAGGGACCAAAACTTCCCTTGCGTCCCTTCCAGGAAGTCCTGGCTCCTCCTCAGAGGCTTGCTTAATCACCACTGAATCAATATCACTGTACCTGTTATAATCTTGTTAGGTGACCACAGCTTTCTCACTGGGTCAGTATTGCCTAAGGGCCTTTACTTGTAATCTTACTCATTGACTTAGTTTTGTCCCACCTGTACCCCCCTCACCTCCTGGCTTTGCTTAATAAAACCCTTTCAAAAGCGAGGTGGGGGGGCAACTCACTTTCCAGTCCCCCTCTGTCTCTCTTAGACAGAAGCTATCTTTCTCTCAATATATTCTTCCTACTTTTAACTTCTGTTATTCCTAGAATTCATGCTTCCATTTTAGAGAACACAAACTCGTGTTTCAGGTGTCTAGCAGGTTAGGAGTTACGATACTTCTCTTGTTTGGATTATTTTTGCTTATTTGGATTACTTGCCTTGTATCATTTTTTGGATTACTTGGTATACTATATCACCACGACACCTGACCCAAAGCATAAATAATTTAAACAGCAAAATAAGAGACAGACAATAGGAAACAGGAAGATCTTCTGTAAATGGGAAGGGGGCCAAGAGATGGAGGGAGGGGAGAAGAACAAAAACAATTAGGATGCGTTACTACATGTACAAAACTCCCTATGATGAAGGTAATCATTATGTACTGCAAACAGGGACCGAAAACAATTAAAATTTTAAAGAGACAGTAAACATTCTGAGTAAACCTTTTACGTCCAGTAGTGTTTGCTGTATGAAGTTGGGTGCACCAGTGTTTGGTGCATATATGTTTATATTTGTTATCTCTTCCTATTCAACTGTTCCCTTAACCAATATGTAGTGACCTTCCAGTTATGGCTTCAAGTTCATTTTCTCTAAGAATAAGATAGCTATTCCTGCTGGAGTTGTCTATTTGTTTTGTTTTTTGGTACCAGGGTCAAACTCAGGACCTTGCACTCGTGAGGAAGGTGCAGTGCCACTGAGTGAAATCCCCAGCCCTGTTTTTTGTTTTTTTGAGTCAAAGTCTCACTATATAGTCCAGGCTGGGCTTTAACTCACTAGGTAGCCCAGGGTGGCTGGCCTTGAACTCTTGGGGATCCCCCTGCCTCAGCCTCCCAAGTGCTGGGATTACAGGTATGTGCCACCAACTAAAGTGTTCTTTGTTGTGGGAGTTTCTAGAGGAATTTTAATGATTTCTCTTCTCAGTTTCTTTATTTGTGATTTTGTGTGTGGGTGTGTGTACTGAGGTTTGCAAGTGCTCATAGTGGAAAGACTTTGTTACTGGCATGGAGATCTCTTTAGTTAATGTCTGCTATCCAGTAATACATTCTGGACATGGCTAGATACAGACAGATAGCTTGATAAATGAGGAATATCTGTGTAGGTCTTTGCCTCTGTCCCAAGGTCTAACACCTCTGTTAGGGGAACCTGCCAATTAATTAGCCCAGCACCCAATGATCTGGGAATGGAACCTAGTTGTGTAAATGACACAAAGGTAATTTGGATAATGGCATATAGAGAAAACCTATCAATAGCAACAACTATGCCATCCTGGCAATAGCAACTAAGTCAGCAATAATAACATCATTAAAGACAAACAGGATACTGACATACCCTGAGAACCAGTACTATACCACCCTTACCCATAAAACGAGATCTATAATTATAGTATGAACATTAAGACAAACCAAATAGTGACATAATGTAAATATCTACTAAATGTAACAACTGTATCTCCTCTACCAATAGAAAAGAATTCAAGTCATAGGATAGAGTTAAGTATCTAGAGATTAATAAAGCTTAATGGTTATACTAGTAAAGTGGGGGTAGGCAATAGGAGCACAAAAGAAAAATCTGAAAAATTAACTCATGGAAGATAAGAAAGAGAAAAGAAAAATGAGATAAAGGATCCTCTTAAGGAATAAAAAGAGATTAACAGATTAGGTAAAAGTAATAGAAAAGAAACAAGAAAAAGAAGAAAAGAGAAAAACAAAAAGAGGAAAAGAAGAAGAAAAGAATGAAAGGGAACAAAGAAAAAAAACATAAAAAGATGATTTTTTTAAAAACGCCCCACAAAAACCATGATGGGGCGGGTGGGGAAGAGTGGTGAAAAATAAATTCTTCTGTATTTCTGAACAAGTGGTTTCTTTTCAGGATCCACAATTTTGAAATCCCAAAGTCATGGTCTTGTCTGCCTAGAGTCATGTCCTGTACGTTTGTGAGGTGCCCCCCTTCCAAAGCCTCTGTCCATGCACCCTAGGCTGTGGCGACCATCTGTGCTGAGGTGTGTCCTCACTCACATTAGCACATGGGGAAAGCACTCAAACCTCTCATCTGTTCTGGACGTAGGCAGCAGGGAGAGGGTTCCAGCAGACCACTGCACTTAACGCCAGCATCACCTTGGCCCTGGCTTCTTACCACTAAGGGCCAGGCCCTGCTCCCAGCCTCAGTTTAAACTTCTCAGAGAGTCTATGTCTAGCCCATACCTTCTCATGACTAACTCTTGTGGTTGTCCTTTTTTTTTTTTTGGTACAGGGGATTGAACTTGGGTCCTTGCACTTGCGACGCAGGCGGCAGAACCACTGAGCTAAATCCCCAGCCCCTTGTGGAGGTCTCTTACTCAGTCATTGTGGGAGGATGTTAAGGTTTATATGCTATGGTTCATATCTAGATGACCCTGCTCCATAGCTCAGATACTCACAGGTAAGGATCTGTGGAGGAGATTAGACCATGGGGGCAAGATAGTCGGCAGTGGGTTCAACCGCTGCTGAGTTTCTAGCTAACTGTGATGTTGGGAGGCGAAGTCTGGTAGGAGGAGGTGGTCACTGGGGCCAGGCTGGGGAAGGTCTATCTTCCCATCTCCTCCCTTAATCTCTGTCTCAGCTTCCCTGCAGCCATGTCATAAACCACTTCTCCTCAGCCACGCCCCTCTGCCACGCCACCCTGCCTTGGAGCCAGTCAACTGTGGACTGAAACCTCTATAAACTGTGAGCCCAAAGAAACCTCTCCTCCTTTAAATTGGAGGTGTTGGGTATTGTGTCCCAGTGACAAGAGAGTAACTAAGACAAAGGTAACACGAGGAACTCTGAAGTAAAGTTGTTTTCTGGTTGTTCTGTGGCTCAGGTTTTTTTGGTTTTTTGTTTGTTTGTTTATCGTTTTGGTTTTTTGAGACTGACCTGGAACTCACTACTAGCCCAGGCTGGTCTCAAACACACAGTGATCCTCCTGCCTCAGCCTCCTTGTGCTGGGATTACAGGCGTGTGCCACCACGCCTGGCTTTTGGGGCTGTTTTAAATAATCAATCGCTTCCTAAAATGACACCCGATTAATCTCTGTCCCATATGGCAGGCCCTACACTGGATCCCTTCTCCAATTGTATCCTGCAGTGTGGAAGTGGTCACTTTCTGAGCAAAATCGCACAGTTTTTGTACTTCATAACAGCGCCGCTTGCCCAGTCTGCCATTTCTCCCTGGCGCTTCCAACCCTGAAAGCTTACCTGGTGTCTGTGGACACAGCTTCTCCCATCTGGGAGCCAGGTGAGTTTCTAGACTGCCTAATTCTTTTCTCAGTGTTGTGGTCCATTGTTCCAGCTTCTCTGTACTTTCTAATTTTCCTGTCCGCTCTCTTCCAATTCCAGGAGTCTACTTCTTTCGTTTGTTTGTTTGTTTGTTTGTTTTTGAGACAGGGTCTCTCTCTCTAGTTCAGACTGTCCTTGAGCTCACTATGTAACCTAGGCTGGCTTCAAACTCACAGGACCCTCCTGAGTGCTGGGATTACAGGAGTGCGCCGCCATATCTGGCACATTTTGGCTTTTTTCTTGAGACAGGGAGGGGCTCATTTAGTAGCCTAAACTGGCCCTGAACTTTCAATTTCCTGCCTCAGCCTCGCAAATGCTGGTATCACTACCACAGGGGGAGTGGTACGGAGATCAAACTCTGGACCTTGCGCTTTTGAGGCAGGTGGCGGCAACACCGAGGTAAATCCCAAGCCCCTATCTCTTAAATATTTTTTTCTGTTAGCTCTTTCTTAACATCAGGGTCAAGGACAGAAGCAATCCTTATTTGCTGAAGACCATGTTTGCCCTTGTTTCCCCAAGTTGTATCAGAAAAGGACTTCTCATAAAATTCCTAGATTCTAATCTCTAAAAAAACAAATACTCCTAACGCTGCTAGTCCGTTCCAAATCTGTTTGGACCGGAGTTAAGCACATTCAGTCATGAACACACACACACACACACACACACACACACACACACACACACACACACACGTGACACTGGTCCTTGTCCCCTGTGACGGAGAAGCTCACTGCTCCCTCAGGGAAGTCGGACGAATTTCACCTTGGTCTCTGCACTGGGCTTTTCTCCTCAGGAGACCCACACTGTGCATATTCACATGGACTCACCAGGCCAGGAACAGTGCCACAGAGGACTCGCCTCTGCAGACGGCCCCGGGCCACCGCCCTACCTGCTGCAGCGCGGTGCCTGGACGCCACACGTCCGGCAGGCCTCTGGCGCTTTGACCTCCCCGTTTCTCCGCCTGGGTCTCCTGGGTGACTCGCTCTCTCTCCTCCCCGGGCTCCCTCTCGGCCTCCGGTTTTTCTCTGGCGCTCCTTCCAAGCCTCCAGGTCTGCAGTTGCTTTCCTCCGCTCTGCATCCTTCACAGCTTCTATTGTTTTCCTCTCTTCTTCTTCAATCTGTAAATATTGCAATGACTGAATTATTGAAAACGTATAAAAACAGTGGGAACAGGCAGACAAACAGAATCCGTTTCTGGTGTCACCTGCGCGTGCTCAGGGCTCGGCACGACCACAGGAAGCTAAGGTCAGAGGACCGGAAGGCAGAGCCGAAGAGGAAAGGGACAGACGAGCACCCAGCCGGAAGGCATGGCGGGCACCACCTCCGACTTTCTCACCTCTGTCCTCTAGAACAGTTTTCTCCAGTGAGCACCGAGTGCTGTGCTACCCAAGGCTATAGCCACTAGCCACGTGTAGTCAAGTTACAAAGGCTTCTGCTGTGACTGACAAACAGAATTTTAAATTTTACTTAAGTTAGACTAGTGCAGATTCAAATTACTTGACATTTTCTGGTACTGGACATTGATCCCAGGACCACACTCATGCTGGGCAGTGTTCTACTCCCGAGCTACATTCCCAGGCACTTTGTATTCTGACACAGGATCTCACTAAGTCGCCTGGGCTGGCCTCAGATTGGCAGGATCCTCCTGCCTCAGCCTTCTGAGTAGCAGGGCATGTAATAGGCATGGACTACCGCCCCAGGCTAAATTGGTTGCATTTAATAGTGCATCGGGAGTGGTTCTACACCAGAGCACTGAAGCGAGGCTCCGTGGGGGCATTTAGGACACAAAGGGCAGAAGTATGACATCTGCACAGGCTTGCTCTGCAATGACCTTGTGACCTAACACACCCTCCCCACAACTCAGTACGCATTCGGCTTCCGGAAGACTATTTTCCTACTGAACAGGGAGGCACTGACTTTAAAGTCAGTTTCATGGAGGACTTCTTTAGTCCCCAAATTTTCCCACTTGCCTTCTGGCCCTGAACTGGAGACGGCAAGACCTAAGAGGTATGGCCTAAGCCAGGCATTGGCCCAGACCCATAATCCTAGCACCACGGAGGCTGAGACAGGAGGATCACAAGTTCAAACCCAGCCTGAGCAGTTTAGCAACTTAGTGAGACACTGTCTTAAAAAAAAAGGCTGGGGATGGAGCTCAGTTTGAAGACCCTGGGCTCAGTCCCCAGTGCCTAAGTAACCAGCACCGAGCTCCAGCGGGGAGTCATGAGGGCTATGCCTTGGACGGGACTGAGATGGTTCTTCTGGGACCAGTGAGCCAGGCTTCTCAAGGGTGTGGCCCGAATCCCTGGCTTCCTGTCTGAGATGAGACCTCTCCGCACAGGTGTCTCCCACCGAGCTGCTCACCACAGCACCTCAGCAGAGCAGAACAGAAGGGCTGACTGGTCTGGGGCTCAGCCGCCCACGTATTGGCCAAACGAACCTCTTCCTCTATACCGTTACCCAGCCTCAGGAATTTTGTTAAAGAAAGTCAGACTAATGCACCCTGACAAAGGTCGCACAAGGCATGAAAGACGATAATCATTATGTGTTCTAAATCATTACGTGAAGCTGCTGTGAGCTGCCAACAAGGCAGGTTGGGAAGGTGCTACACATGCCGTGAACAGGCACTCACACCTGACCAGGGAGAGATGGTGGCTGGGTGTGGGGTGTGCACTTGTAATCCAGCCTACTCTGGAGGCTGAGGAGGATCCAAGTTCAAGTCCAGCCTGGGCAACTTAGACCTTGTCTCCAAATAAAAAATAAAGGGCTGGGGATGTAGCTCAGAGGTAGAGCACTCCTAGGTTCAATCCCCAGTACCACCAGAAAGAAAGAGAGACAGACAGTGATAACCAGGAAGGAGAGCAGGAAGTTACCGGCTAAAAGAGGAGGACCACTTCCTGAGTCAGTTTAACAGGATGCTGTCCTGTCACTTTCCTCATTGCTGGCCACAGCGGCTGACACCCACAACTTCGACGAGGACAGGTTTATTTCGGCTCACAGTCACAGTCCTCAGGTGCTGGCTCCGTGGCAGGGGGGATGCTGGAAGGGTGGGCACGGAGGAGGCAGGAAGCAGAGGGAGGGAGGGAACCTTTCTGGGCCACACCCCCTGGGGCCCGCGTCCAGCTGGGCACACGGCCTACAGGCAAGCCAGCCGTGGGAACCCGGGATCCAGCCTCCGTCCGCAGTCCCGCCTATGACATGAGGCTTTGGGGGCAGTCTCCCCATCCAAGTGCCAGCCTGACCCCGCTTAGCTTCCAGATCAGAGGAGGCCGGGTGCGTTCCGGGTGGTGTGGCCACAGACTTGCGGGCATTCTTTTTGTTGTTGTTTTTGTTTGAGACAGGGTCTCACTACCTAATTGAGACTGACCTGGAACTCACTATGTAGTCCAGGCTGGTTTTGAACTCCCAGTGATCCTCCTGTCTCAGCCTCCCCAGTGCTGTGCGCCACCAAGCCCAGCAAAGAGGATCCGTTTTTTTGTTTTTGTTTTTGGTACCAGGATCAAACTTGGGCTCTTGAGCTTGCGAGGCAGGCACTGGAACCACTGAGCCAAATCCCCAGCCCTTGGGGGCATTCTTGACAGTAAAAGTCAGGTAACTTTACCCTCACAATACCCACAGGTAGAGTGAATTTTAAATCAAGCTTTTAGACTAAGTATAAATTACCAAAAGCAAAGCTGTTCTTCAAACCAAAAGTAACAGTGTAGCTCTGGAATTATAGCCAAGGTGTACTCAAGGGATCTCCCTCTCTATCTCCCTGTCCCTCTCGCCGTCCCCTCCCCACCCCTCTTGTTCATCTGTTTTCTGAGGCAGGGTCTGGCTATGTAGCTCAGGCTGGCCTTGAACTCAGTCATCTTTTAATTTATTTATTTATTTATTTGGGGGTTTTCGAGACAGGGTCTCACTATGTAGGTGAGACTGACCTGGAACTCACTATGCAGCCCAAGCTGGTCTTGAACTCACAGCAAATCCTCCTGCCTCAGCCTCCCAAGTGCTGAGATTACAGGCATGCGCCACCATGCCTGGCTTAAACTCAGTCTTCTGAATTCACAAAAATTGAATACAGAAAACTGCAAAATGGCCAGAGTCCCCTGTCCTATATGTGTTTCTTTTACAGCGCAGTCTTCGTAGGAAGATGGAGTCTGTCCAGTTCCTCAGTCTGTGCCTGGCCCTGTGACTTGCCCTGGCTAATGGACAGCTACGGACGGGACCCAGCAGGGGCTATGAACAAGCTGTGGCAGAGCCCCAAGACGGTGAGACACCACGTGCAGAAAGGCTCCGGGCCCCCAGCCCAAGCGACCCAGAAGGACCTGATCCACACAGAATCCCAAGAAAGAAGTCTGTGCCTCACGCCACCAAAGTCTGAGAAATACTTTGCAGTGTTATGGACTAAATGTTTGTGTCCTCCAAATTTCAAACCCTCCGTGTGGCTGGGTATGGAAATAGGGCTTCCGAGGAGGATTAAGTCGAGCTCACTGGGATGCTCACTGCTCCCTCAGCAGAAGAAGCAGAGGGCCAGCGTTCTTGCCCTCTCTCTCTATTGTTTGAGATCTGAGAACACAGCGAGAATGTCCACAAAATAGGGAAAAAGCTCTCACCAGACAGTGAGCCCTCCAGGACTCAACCTGCACTTCTAGCACTGTGTGACCCCGGATTTCTGTCAGTTAAGCTACGAAGTCTGCAATATTCCGCTCCAGCCAAGCACACAGAACAGACAGCAGAGCAAACTGACATAAGTCTCACTGCTTGCCCTAATAATTATTTTTGAAAGGTTACTACTTTAGAATGACAGTTTTTAGTAGTCGTTATTCAAGTTTTAAACTGACAGCAGGCTGACTTATTGCTGTATCTCCCACCCCCTTCCAGTGGATTACGACTTCTTTCCTGAAAGTATCTGAGATTGGACCTTAAACAGTTTACACCTACGGTCTCCGAGCTCCAGGAGGAGTTCAAGCCCACCTGGGGAACGTATGGAGATTCTGCCTCAAACACTGAAAGCAGATGGTGGGTGTATCCCAGTGCAAAGATCTTGGGTTCAAGCCCCAATGCTTTAAAAAAAAAGTCCCAACCAATACAGTTAGATATGAAGGAGCCGAGTCACTCTCGTCTTCTTCAACTGGGAACACCACACTCTCACCGTTACCCAGTCTAAAGCTTCTGGTTATCCAGGCTTAAACTGAGGCGGTCAGGCGGATTGCCCACAGCGGGGAGACTGGGGCCAGTGCCCTGGAGCAGTGGCATCTGCCCCTGCAAACATAGCAGAAGCCTGATTGCCTGGGACCCATCTTCCCCTTTGCACTCGAGGCCCTTTCTCCTTCACCTTCTCCGCCTTCGCCCTGTCCCTGCTGCTTATCCCACACGACAGGGTGCACGCTTGGAAGTTCTTCACACAAGAACCCGGACTATTTCTGGCCCACTCAAACGGAACGCGACTGCCCACCAAAGGGGGCTTCTCCGATGAGCACAGGGCACTAGAGTAAGGTGCTCAAATGAATTCACTGAACATCTGAGCAGTACTCCTTACCTGGCAGTGGCTGTAACCGGCATGAAGTCCCAACTGTCCACATAAGTGAGGACAGGGAGCCTTTGTGGGCTCTGCCCCTCATGTTTCATACATGAATACCCCGGCCTCCTTAGCAGACATCGAAGTTACGGTTCCACTTCTCAGCAGATGAATCATTTCATGGTATGGCAGGGCACCGTTGCCTCCCAGTCCTCTTTTCCGTTCTGTTATATTTACCAATACACCACACGTAGGTGGACCACTATTGAACTATTTCTTTAGTTCAGGAAATATTCATCTGTTACTATAAATTTTACATTATTTTTAAAAAAAATTTTTTGGAAAATACTGAAAATCAAAAGGCTGATAGTTATGACAATAAAATCAAGAAAAGATGGACGTCATCACATATACTCAGCAGGAGACTGGCAGCTGGCTGTGTCTGATTCCCGAGTACAAGACCACATGTACAGCACAAGCTCTGCTGAGAAGAAGCTGAGAATCTTTAGAACTGTGGACTGTTGATTATAAAAACATTATTTGTAAAAAAGACACAAAATAAGTTAAGTGATAGATTAGAACTTGCCTAGGACTAGGAGCCAAGAAAGTAGGGAATCGCTATTAAGGGTATTATGTTTTACATAGTGAACATTATCTAAAATTGACCATGCACAACACGGAATGTACTAAAAGTCACTGAGCTATATATTCTAAACGGGTGAACTGTGTGGCATACGAATTATATCTCAAAACATAGTGCTGATTAAATCTCTCACCTGAAACCCTAACTGGTTAAAAAGATACTGGCATTCGTGTTTCCTCTACATGTTCTGCTTTAAACAATTATGTCCATTATTTTAAGATTAAAAAGAAGAGGGCCTGGGATGGGGCTCAGTGGTTCTGCTGCCTGTCTCACAAGCACAAGGTCCTGAGTTCAATCCCTGGTACGAAGAAGAAAGAAGAGGAGGAGGAAGAGGAGGGGAGAAGAGGAACAAGAGGAGGAGAAGGAGGAGGAGCAGCAGCAGCAGCAGTGGTAATAGTAGTAGTGGTGGTGGTGGTGGTAAAACACACCATAGTAATAACTTTATGAAATCAGATCCCACTAGGCTGACCAGGCTGGGCTGGAGGTCCTGGGCTCAAGTGATCCTCCTGCCTCAGCCTCCAGAGTAGCTAGGAGGCTACGTGCCTTCATGCTTAGCTTACTATCCAGCTTTTACGCCCTTGATTCTCATACAGATTTTCGGTTAAGCAGTTGCTATGGCTTGGGTCTAGATGTCAATCCAAAGCCTCATTAAGTCACAAGTGGGGCTTTTTCTTAGCTGGCTGGATCTAGAGTGTGTGACACTGGGATTGATTCATGGTGCAATACTGGATCAATGGCACTAGGATTAAGGGTGTGAGTGCTGCCCGCTGCCCTAAGTGGCCTGGATAAGAGACAGAAAAAGCGATGGTGGCCCCTTGCTTGCTTTGCTGCCTTCTGACCACCATGAACTATTTCTGCTGTATGATGCCCCTCTTCCAGGCCCCACTGCCTTGGACCCAGCTAATTATGGACTGAAACCTCTACAGACTGTCAGTTAAATAAACTTTTCCTCTTTTAACTTTGAGTGTTGGGTATTTTGTCTCAGCAAGGAGAAAAGTAACTAAGACAGCAGTCACCAGTCTATAACAAAGTAGTAAGTCCTACAACCATATGCCGAGTACTACACTGGTTAGAACGATCTTTATGTCCTTCACCATCATCGCCTTAGAAGACTTTCCCACAATCTGCACTCACCTTCATTGCGACATTTAAAGTATATTTTTGATCTTCCTGTCTTGCTGTAGCTTTTGCTTCGGTAGCCTCTTTTGCTCTCTCCTGTGCTTGTAAAATAGCCTTTTCTCTTATTTTCTGCATCATCTCTTTGTCAACTAAAATACAAGGGATACAGTAATACAGGATCATGATTAACTGGTCTGACTTGGGAGATAACGACTCACCACACAGGCCAAGATGAGATCTCTTCACACAACTTCATCAAAGGTGAAAACATGGAACTGGCCGAGAAGCTAACAGTCAAAGCAATTTACACAACAATGAAGAGGAAGCCGGGGAGAGGGAGGGTGACAGTGAAGGAAGGAGTGACAGGGAAGAGGGGATAAGGAGAAGGGCAGGACGGATCGGCAAGGGGATGAGAACACCGTCATCTCTGTTGAGAAGCTAAGACTCTTTGCCTGTAAACTTGTTTATAATAAGTCACCTTCTTTAATTGAGTTTATTGGTACATTCTAGACATACAATGCAGTTACATCCGCTATTGGGACCCTGCACCCTTACATGGCAGGTCTTGGTTCTCATTTTTCCCCCTTGTCCCTTATAATAAGTTATCCTTATAAGATCTCCTAAGAGAAGACTGGGGAGGATTACCTGAACTGATGGATCAAATCACCTCCAAAGACATGAAACGGTGCTGGGCATGGTGGCACACTTTGGGAAGCTGAGGTAGGACGACTGCAAGTTTGAGCCCAGCCTTGGAAATTTACCAATTTAATGAGACCCTGTTTCAAGTTTTAAAAGGAAAACAATTTAAAAAGGGCTGGGGATGTAGTTCGGTGAAGCAGCCCTGGGTTTAATAACATGGTAACTTGTGCACATGGGAAGAGCCGACTGAAGGAAACTGGGGACATACGATACAGAGTTTCGTTTTGCTTTGTTTTTTCAGCAATGGGAATTGAACCCAGGGGCTTCGCACTGAGCTACACACCCTCTTTTGTTTTTGCTTTTGTTTGTTTTTTGGGTACCAGGGATCGAACTCAGGACCTTGAGTTTGCGAGGCAGGTGGTGGCACCACTCAGGAAAATCCTGGCCCTTTTTGTTTTTGAGACAGGGTCTCACTAAGTCACTAAGCTGCCCAACTTAGGCTCAAACTTGTGATCCTCCTGCCTCAGCCTCTCAGAGTGCTTGGATTGTAAGCACGTGTCTACATCACAATTCTTTTTTGAGACCGGGTCTTGCTATATAGTCCAGGCTGGTCTTGAACTTTTAGCAATCCTCACCCCTACCCCCACACAATTAATTTTAGATTCATTGTAGCTCGATGTTTCCAAACTGCAGCCTGTGAATCATTACTTTAGGGAAGGAAGGGAAGATCTAGCTTCAAGGAGGAGAATGGAGAAAATCTGGGGGAGAAGGACAGGCTGTGGTAGTGAACAGGTTAGTTAGGGGAGAGGTGAACCGTGTCTGGGCACAGGCTCTGAGCCTTGGCTGCACATCAGAGCCTCTGGCAGAGCAGTGGTGGCATTTTATTCACCAAGTTCTCACTGTGCTGCTCTTAGGCTTACACAGGTGGCAGCGGAAGGACTGTCTCATTTAAAGCAGGCACTGTGCCTCCTTTTCCTAGAACAGTGGGAGGGGTGGGGGACAGACTGCTGAGAACTTCTGCTTCGTAACTTGAAGGATGGAGCCAAAGGCAGCTTCTCTTAACTCCTCTTGGCTGCCCGAGCAGACACTCAAACAGCCCAGCACCACCCTCAGCCACCACACGTCTCCTCCCCAAAGCCCATCTTGCAGGCAGCACTGACTTTTCTGTTTTATTACCCAGGCTGCCTCCAACCCCTGGGCTCAGGTGATCCTCCTGTCTCCGCCTCCTGAGTAGCTGAGACGACAAGCTCCTGTTTTCACACGCTGCTGGTGTTAACTGTCATCCCAGGACAAGAGACTGGAAGTCTGGATCACGTGCTAGCAAACCTTGATACTAACGCTCACCCTCTAATGAGCTGCTGGCCCGCATGCCCACCTTACCTTCCCATAGTAAGAGGGTCTAATGAACTCTCAAATCTCACCCCTTTGTTTGGGTTCACTCTTCCCTGCGAGACCTTCAAACACATATTTGTTTTTCAAACACATATTTTAATAAAAAAAACACCTACCACCAGACACAGAAAGGGTCTCCCACATGGCTGGTTCTTTTTTGTACAAAGTGAAGACAATAGCGTCATTTCCAATCTTTGCTTTACTGTTCCCATCATCTATGGGAGCATAGAGAAATGCCTCAAATAGAAATGGGGGAAAGTTGACCTGTTCGGAGAAAGAAAACAGAGTTGGGCTGGGGATTTAACTCAGTGGCTCCACCGCCTGCCTCGCAAGCGCAAGGTCCCAAATTCGATCCCCTGTGCCAAAAAAAAAAAAAAAAAAAGAAAACAGAGTTAAATTAGGTACACAAATTAAAGACACTGCTGTTAAAAGAAATATGTTGCTGGGGAATGCCTGTAATCCCAGCACTAAGGAGGCTGAGGCAGGAGGACTGCCATGAGTTCAAGGCCAGCCTCAAAAAACAAATAAACAAACAAAATTTAGCAACACATATGAGGAAATCCTGGATAACATTTATCTGCAGATGAGAGAGCCCCTCTGTGTGAAATTCTTTTCATGTATGTACACATGTATGTTTGTGGCACTCGGTATAGAACTCACAACCTTCATACTGAGGTACATCTCCAACCTTTTTTTGAGACAGTCTCTTTTTTTTTTTTTTATTGAGTTTATTGGTACATTTAGGGATACAGTACAGTTACATTCATTGTTGGGATCATGTACCTTTACATGGCAAGTCTTGATTCTCATTTTTTTCCCCTTACCTCTGCCCTCCCTTCACCCCCTCCTCCCCTCCCCATCTACAAACACTTTATTTTCATCTTTTCATTCTCTCACATTTTTTTCTTTTCCCTTTTTGTTCTTCCCCTACGTATCACACCTTCCCTACACCTTTAGCTCCTTTCTTCCCATTTCTAAATGTCAGTAATCTTATTAGAATCTTATGCATTGTTGCAGAATATTCACACCAGGGAAACTATTTGGTATTTACACATGTGGGACTTATTTATTTCACTTAGGAGTATATCTTCAATATGTATCCATTTTCCTATGAATGAATCTATTCTCTCGCTCTTTATGGCTGAGTAATATTCCATTTTATAGAAAAACCACAACTTCTTTATCCAGTTTCCAACGGATGGGCAAATAGGTTGTTTCCAAGATTTAGCTATTACAAACTGTGCCGCTATAAACATGGGTGCACATACTTCTCTGTGATATGATTCTTTTAGTTCTCTTGGAAAGATACCCAACAGAGGGATGGCTGGGTCAAATGGAACCTCCAGTCCAAGCTCTTTGAGGTATCTCCATATTGATTTCCATAGTGGTTGCACTAGTCTGCACTCCCACCAACAATGGAGGAGGGTTCCTTTCTCCCCACAACCCCGCCAACATTTGTTATTGTGTGATTTCTTGATAGCAGCCATTCTTTGTGGGGTGAGGTGGAATCTCAGTGTTGTTTTCATCTGCATCTCTCGAATGACCAGTGATGTGGAACATTTTTTCATATATTTTCTTGCTGCTTTCACTTCTTTGTATGAGAAATGTCTGTTCATTTCGGATGCCCATTTTTGGATCGGGTCTTTATATTTGGGGGGACTGATTGTTTTGAGTTCTTTATATATCCTTGATAATAGTCCTTTGTCTGAGGTACAGCTGGTAAAAATTTTTTCCCACATTGTAGATTGTCTCTTAGTTCTGCTAATGGTTTCTTTTGAAGTACAGAAGCTTTTTAGTAAGATGAGATCCCAGTTGTTGATTCTTTCTGCTAGTTCCCGTGCTACTGAGGATTTGTTCATAAAGTCTTTTCCTATACCAATGTCTTCCAGAGTTCTGCCTAACTTACTTTCCAGCAAGTTTAATGTTTCTGTTTTAATATTTAGATCTTTAATCCATTTGGATTTTAATTTAGTGCATGGCGAAAGATAAGGGTCTAATTTTAATCTGTGACAGGTTGATATCCAGTTTTTCCAACACCATTTATTAAAGAGGCTATCTTTCCTCCACTGAGGATGGTGAGCTCCTTTGTCGAAGATGAGGTAGCTGAGTACATCTGCATTTGTTTTTGTGTCTTCCAGTCTGTTCCATTGATCCTCAGGCCTATTTCTTTGCCAGTACCATGCTGATTTTATCACAGTGGCTTTGTAGTATAGTTTCAAATTGGGAATTGTTACACCTGGTGCCATGTGACTGTTGCCTATAATGGCTTTTGCTATTCTAGGTCTCTTGTGGTTCCAAATGAATTTTTGGATTCTTTTTTCTAGTTCTGTGAAATATAGTGTTGGAATTTCAATTGGCATTGCATTGAATGTATATAGCAGTTTCGGTAGTATGGCCATTTTCACTATGTTGATTCTTCCTACCCAGGAGCAGGGGATATCTTTCCATTTTTTTATATCCTCTTCGATTTCTTTTTTCAGAGTGCTGTAGTTTTCAGTGTAGAGATCTTTTGTTTCTTTTGTTAGATTGATTCCTAGATACTTCATTTTTTTGGATGCTATTGTAAAAGGAATTTTTTCCCTTATTTCTCTTTCTGTCTGTCTGTTATTTGTGTATAGAAAGGCTATTGATTTTTGGGTATTCACCTTGTATCCAGATACTTTACTGAATCTGTCAATTAAGTCTAGAAGTTTTTTGGTGGAGTTTTTTGGATCTTCAATGTAGAGTATCATATCATCAGCAAATAATGATAGTTTAACTTCTTCCTTTCCTATCTTTATTGCTTTAATTTCTTTCTCTTGTCTAATTGCTGTGGCTAATGTTTCCAGAACTATATTGAAGAGAAGTGGCGATAGTGGGCATCCTTGTCTTGTTCCTGATTTTAACATGAAGGTTTTCAGTTTTTGGCCATTCAATATGATGTTGGCTGATGGTTTTTCATAAATAGCCTTTATTAAATTGAGGTATAGACCATCTATTCCAATTTTTTGCAGGGTTTTTATCATGAATGGGTGTTGAATTTTATCAAATGCTTTTTCTGCATCTATTGAGAGGATCATATGGTTTTTGTCCTTGACTTTGTTAATATAATGTATTACATTCACTGACTTTCGTATGTTGAACCACCCTTGCATCTCTGGAATAAATCCGACTTGGTCATGATGGATGATCTTCTTAATAATCCTCTGTATTCTGTTTGCTAGTATCTTATTAAGGATTTTTGCATCTATATTCATTAAGGAGATTGGTCTGTAGTTCTCCTTTTTGGTTGTATCTTTCTCTGGTTTGGGAATCAGAGTGATACTTGCTTCCAGGAATGAATTTGGAAGTATAGCTTCTCTTTCAATTTCATTGAAAAGTTTGAAGAGTAATGGTAGTAGTTCTTCTCTAAATGTCTTGTAAAATTCAGCAGTGAATCCATCAGGGCCTGGGCTTTTCTTTGTTGGTAAGTTTTTAATTACATTTTCAATTTCACTGATTGTGATTGGGGTGTTTAAAATGTTTTTATCTTCTTCGTTCAACTTTGGTAATTCATAAGTATCTAGAAATCTGTCCATTTCTTCTGTGTTTTCCATTTTATTAGAGTACAGGTTCTCAAAGTAGGTGTTCATGATCCTCTGGATTTCTACACTTGATCTTAGCCAAAAGGCCGAGAAGCGATGATCCTCTGGATTTCTTTCGGATCTGTTGTGACTTCGCCTTTTTCATTCCTAATTGCATGGATCTGAGCCTTTTCTTTCCTTTTTTTGATAAGATTAGCTAAGGGTTTGTCAATTTTATTTATTCTTTCAAAAAACCAGCTCTGTTTCATTTATTTTTTGTATCGTTTTCTTAATTTCAAGTGCATTGATTTCTGCTCGGATCTTTATAATTTCCTCTCTTGTTCGAGCTTTGGGTTTTTCTTGCTCTTGTTTTTCTAGGAGTCTAAGTTTCATCGTTAAGTTGTTTATTTGAGCCCGCTCTGTTTTCCTAGTGTGGGCATTCAATGTTATGAATTTTCCACGTGGAACTGCTTTCATTGTGTCCCAAAGATTCCTGTATGTTGTATTGGCATTCTCATTTATTTGTAAAAACTGTGAGACAGTCTCTTTAAGTCACTAAATTGCCCAGGCTGGGCTCCAATTTTCCATCTTCCTGCATCAGTCTCAAGTGCTGGAATTACATGGGCATACCACCACTTTGGGCTTTTCTGTCTCAGTAGTTCTTATTTTGATATTAATTTGTTTATACTATATAAGGGATTACCTGAATTTAGCCACATAGTAACTGTTTTATAGTTGAAATTGGCTTTAACTAATATAATTATATACAGTATATAATTTTATATAATTTAATTAAAATTATATACAAGGGCCGGGTGTGGTGACGCATGCCTGTAATCCCAGCACTTGGGAGGCTGAGGCAGGAAGATTGCTGTGAGTTCGAGACCAGCCTGTGCTACACAGTGAGTTCCAGGTCAGTCTTAACTACATAGTGAGACCCTGTCTCAAAAAATAAAATACAAGGAAATTAGGGGTGTTACAGTACTTGGTTGCAAATAACTTGCTTACTGGGTTGGGTCAGAAAATTCTACTTCCTTTGTGCTGAGGAAACAGCCAAACAGTCAAATATGAAGTGATTCCTGGGAGTGTCTACCAGCTGTCTCATAACACCCTTCCTTCTCTGCAGTTTGAAAACCCAGACTCTGCTGAGCCCACAGACTGCAACACTGCTGGTTCTCAGACACTCTCTAGAGCCCTAGGGTTCTGAGCCACTCGGCTCAGAAAGGACACCGACACACAGACACCTGTTTGATGGGTTCTACGAGTAAACACCAACTCCTCTCTTTTCACCAGACACAAAGAGAAAAGTTTTGGTTTTCTCTGGACATTTGGGAACAACTTGCTGGAAGCTCAACTCATAATCAACAAATTCTTGGACACCTGCCACCTTTCTGACAGCATAACTTGGACCATGTGGCAGCACCAACAGGATCTCTCCACCCTAAAATTCTGCTACTGATTCTTTTCCAGCTTGTATATTTGATTCCCTCTAGAAATCTGTGATGATACCAGACATTCTGCCTTTCATCCTCAGGACTGGAAGCAGTGTAGACCAAGCCACAGACTGACATATAGTAGCCCCAGAATATTTCTGCCCTGTGTCCTGTTTGTATTGCCTCTAGACATACTGGAGACAGAACAGGTGAGGGACTCAGGAGAAACTGTTCTAACCAAAAGAATAGTCTGAAAGCAAATGCTTACTTTTATCAAGGGAGGAACTGCTGCACCTGATGAACCCCCAAGCACCACTAAAGCCTGTTCTCCTGGCCTTCCACCCCCAGCTTGGTGCTATCAAGGGAACCGAAGCCTCAGCTTCCTGACCGCTCTTTTAACTTACTATTTTATTTTTGAGATGGAGTCCCCCATGCAACTCAGGCTAGCCTTCAACTTTCTGTCTCAGTCTGACATTAAAGGTTTTCTGTTTTTCTGAGACAGGATGACAGGGCATCACCCTGTAGCCCAGACTAGCTTTGAACTCAAAATCCTCCTGTCCTAGCCTCCTGGATTCTGGGATTACAGTCAGCAGGAATTGCTTTTCCTGTTTTGTTTTGGTCAGTTTTTTCATTTGTTTTTGTCTTTTAATCTCATGTTTCTCTTCTTTAAAACATTTTATTAGTACATGTTTGTAATACATGATGTTTGCGTTCATTTTAGGGAGAGGATGCGTTTATTTAAAGTATCTTTTTTTTTCTTTTTATTGAGTTTTTGGTACAATCTAGGTCTGCAATACAGTTACATTCATTACTGGGATCCTGTACCTTCACATGACAGGTCTTGGTTCTCATTTTTTCCTCTTGTCCCTGCCGTCCCTTCACCCCCTCCTCCCCTCCCCATTAACAAACTCTTTATTTCCATTTTTTCATTTTCTCCTAATTTTTATTTTCCCTTATTTCCTTGCCCCTATCCTTCCCCCTTTCCCTACACCTTTAGCCCTTTTCTTCCTATTTCACACTCTTAATTATCCCATTAGGATCTGTGTACTATTATACTTTTTCACATCAGAGGAACTATTCGGTATTTACACATGTGTGACTTATTTATTTTGCTTAAGAGTATATCCTCAATATGTGACTATTTTCCTATGAATGACTCTAATTTCTCATTCTTTATGGCTGAGTAGCATTCCATTTTATAGAAAAACCACATCTTCTTTATTCAGTTTCCAACAGATGGGCAGATGGGCTGTTTCCAAGTTTTAGCTATTACAAACTGTGCCGCTATAAACACTGGTGCACATATATCACTGTGATATGATTCTTTTAAATCTTTTGGAAAGATACCCAGCAGAGGGATGGCTGGGTCAAATGGAACCTCTAGACCTAGCTCTTTGAGGTAACTGCATATTGATTCCATAGTGGTTGCACCAGTCTGCACTCCCACCAACAATGGAGAAGGAAGGGTTCCTTTCTCCCCAAAACCCCGCCAATATTTGTTATTGTGTGATTACTTGATAGCAGCCATTCTTTCTGGGGTGAGGTGGAATATCAGTGTTGTTTTCATCTCTCGAATGACCGGAGATGTGGAACATTTTTTCATATATTTACTTGCTGTTTTTACTTCTTTTTCTGAGAAATGCCTGTTCATTTCAGATGCCCATTTTTTAATTGGGTCTTTATATTTGGGGGAGTTGACTGTTTTGAGTTCTTTATATATTCTAGATAATAGTCCTTTGTCTGAGGAGCAGCTGGTAAAAATATTTTCCCACACTGTAGGTTGTCTCTTAGTTCTGTTGATGGTTTCTTTTGCAGTGCAGAAGCTTTTCAATAAGATGAGATCCCAGTTATTGATTCTTTCTGCTAGTTCCTGTGCTACTGAGGACTTGTTCATAAAGTCTTTTCCTATGCCAATGTCTTCAAGAGTTCTGCCTAATTTATCTTCCAGCAAGTTTAGTGTTTCTGTTTTAATATTTAGATCTTTAATCCACTTTGATTTTAATTTAGTGCATGGTGAAAGAGAAGGGTCTAGTTTTAATCTTTGGCAGGTTGAGATCCAGTTTTTCCAACACCATTTATTAAAGAGGCCATCCTTCCTCCAGTGGGGATGGTCAGCTCCTTTGTCAAAGATGAGGTAGCTGAGTATATCTGGAGTTGTTTCTGTATCTTCCAGTCTTTTCCACTGATCCTCAGGTCTATTTCTTTGCCAGTACCATGCTGTTTTTATCACAGTGGCTTTGTAGTATAGCTTCAGATTGGGAATTGTTATACCCGCTGCCATGTGTCTGTTGCCTAGGATGGATTTTGCTATTCTAGGTCTCTTATGGTTCCAAATGTATTTTTGGATTCTTCTTTCCAGTTCTGTGAAGTACAGTGTTGGAATTTCATTTGGTATTGCATTCAATCTGTATAGCAGTTTTGGTAGTATGGCCATTTTCTTTTTTTGTTTGTTGGGTTTTTTTGAGACAGGGTCTCACTATGTAGTTGAAACTGACCTGGATCTCACTGTGTAGTCCAGGCTGGTCTCAACTCACAGCTTCCTCTGGTCTCAGCCTCCCGAGTGCTGGGATTACAGGTGTGTGCCACCACGCCCGGCAGTATAGCCATTTTCACTATGCTGATTCTTCCTACCCAGGAGCAGGGGATATCTTTCCATTTTCTTATATCCTCTTCGATCTCTTTTTTCAGAGTGCTGTAGTTTTCAGTGTAGAGGTCTTTTGCTTCTTTTGTTAAGATTGGTTCCCAGATACTTCATTTTTGGGGGTGCTATTGTGAAAGGCATTATTTCCCTGATTTCTGGTTCAGTGAGTCTGTTATTTGTGTAAAAGAAGGCTATTGATTTTTGGGTGTTGACTTGTATCCAGCTACTCTGCTAAAGGTGTCAATTAAGTCTAGAACTCTTTTGGTGGAGTTGTTTGGGTCTTCAATGTAGAGTATCATATCATCAGCAAATAATGACAGTTTAACTTCTTCCTTTCCTATCTTTATTGCTTTAATTTCTTTCTCTTGTCTAATTGCTATGGCTAATGTTTCTAGAACTATATCAAAGAGGAGTGGTGATAGTGGGCATCCTTGTCTTGTTCCTGATTTTAACGTGAAGGTTTTCAGTTTTTGGCCATTTAATATGATGTTGGCTGTTGGTTTTTCATAGATAGCCTTTATTAAATTGAGATGTAGACCATCTATTCCAATTATTTGCAGAGGTTTTTTTATCATGAATGGATGATGAATTTTGTCAAATGTTTTTTCTGCACCTATCGAGAGGATCATGTGGTTCTTGTCCTTGACTTTGTTAATATAATGTATTACATTTATTGATTTATGTATGTTGAACCATCCTTGCATCCCTGGAATAAATCCGACTTGGTTAGGATGTATGATCTTCTTGATGATCCTCTGTATTCTGTTTGCTAGTATCTTATTGAAGGTTTTTGCATCTATATTCATTAAGGAGATTGGCCTGTATTTCTCTTTTTCAGTTGGGTCTTTCCCTCATTTGGGAATCAAAGTGATACTTGCTTCCAGGAATGAATTTGGAAGTATTGCTTCCCTTCCAATTTCATTGAAAAGTCTGAAGAGTAATAGCAGTAGTTCTTCTCTAAATGTCTTGTAAAATTCAGCATTGAATCCATCAGGACCTGGGCTTTTCTTTGTTGGTAAGTGTTTAATTATATTTTCAATTTCACTGATTGCAATTGGGGTGTTTAAAATGTTTTTATCTTCTTCGTTCAACTTTGGTAATTCATAAGTATCTAGAAATCTGTCCATTTCTTCTGTGTTTTTCATTTTATTAGAGTACAGGTTCTCATAGTAGGTATTAATGATCCTCTGGATTTCTGTGGGATCTGTTGTGACTTTGCCTTTTTCATTCCTGATTGCATGAATCTGAGCCTTTTCTTTCCTTTTTTTGATAATATTTAACATATCTTGATTCTGTTTATTCCCCTACCCCTCCCCACCCACATCCCTCCCTCTGTTTCCAGATTCACATTTTCATTATTATTGTTATTTTTTAAAGTCATGTTTGGGACATATACTGATCACATTATTATGGGTAGTTGGTACACTATGAATCTGAAATGTTACATCCCATCTCCTTTCCCCTCCCACTCTCCCCAGCCTGGGTCTCTTGGTCCTTTTCCCATTTGCAGGTCTATCTCCGTGTTTTCTTTTACCAATCTTTTAGTTTGGTCTTCTTTGGTACTATGGGTAACACAAATGAGAGAAATCATACGGGTTTAAACTTTTGTGTCTGACTTATTTCCCTTAACATTATGTTTCCAAGGTGCATCCATTTTCTTCCAAAATGGCTCGAATTTACCTTTTCTAATACTCCATCACGTATGAATACCACATTTTCTTTATCCGTTCGTTTGCCCTGATACATCTCCTGCTTCCAAGATTTAATTTATGAATCGTGCTGCTACAAACATTGGAATGCACGTATCACAGGAACATGATGATTTTAGCTCTGTGGTCAATGGAGCTTGTTTTTAAAATTCGGATTAAAACCTAAACAGTCATCCGCAAGACCCGCCGCGGCACTTGGGACCGCGACCCCTCCGACGAGGCTCCAGCTCTTACCTTCAGGTAATTCTCCGCGCAGAACACGTCCGCGTCTCTGGCGCAGACGCCGCGCAGGGGCAGAGAGAGGAAGACCGCAGCCGGCGTCTGCTGCCAGCTGTAATCGCTGACCTGCAGCGGCATCGCGGCCAAGCTGAGGGACCGCGGGCTGGTTGCCACGCAAACCGCTCGGTTGCTAGGGATGCTGGGGTCACGACCGCGTCATTCCTTCCGGGTCAGGCCGCGCGTCCCTCGGCTCCCAGCGTGCCCCGCGCGCCGCCATAGCTCTGGGTTCCCTTAGGCCTGCGGGATTCCCGGCTGAGGCGCGGTGCTGACGAGGCGAGGGGTCCTTGGCTGGCCCCGCTGTAAGGCCCGCGCGCGGCCGGGTGACGCAGAGGCCGAGGGTGAGGGCCGAGATGAGGCCTCCCCGGAACCCCTGCAGTCAACACCGCCTGAGGCCCCCGCGGAAACCATTCATCCGGTCAGCGACTAAAATCTTCAGTAGTTTATCTGACCTTACAGCTTTCACAAGTTGTTTTAAACTGAGCAGAATTGACCGAAATTTTTAACAAATCTCTTGTTTTCAAACTGGTTACAGTACCTTCAGATACTATAAACTACCCCAAAACACAGTTGTCTCCTGCACCTTATCCTTTTCCCTGCCTATTCATTATCCTCCTCTTGTTTTGGGGGGCAGGGTCACCCCTTAGTGCCGGGTGGGCCTTGAACTCAGGGTCCTGCTCAGCCTCTGAAGCACTGGGAGTTACAGGCGGTGCCACCGTGCTCAGCTCCACTACCTTCTTTTTTATCTTCATTATCCTTTTTAGTATCCTCCATTCACTTTAGAAGAAAACTGCAGTTTTTATACTTATTTGCCACCTTTCACATGAAAACAGTACTTGAGGCCATTTTCCACTGCAGTGAAATGCCTGAGGCTAGGGTTATTTAGCTCAGAAGTCTACGATCAGGTGGTTCTGTCTGGTTCTGTTTGGCCTCCGGTGAGGACCATTCCGGGTGGCATCACCACAGAAGTGCAGGGGACAGAGCTGGAAGGCAGGGGCTCACAGGTAGATCTGCTCTCATAGTGCCTGCCCTCTCTTGAGCTGGCTTGCATACTCCACTACGCCGGTATCAAGACCTTCTAAGGGCAGGGCCTTCAATAAGCTGGTTGCAGTTTACTCAGCCCATTGCTTGAAGACCCGGGACTTAGTGCTGCCATCTTGGAGATCAGGCCAACAGCACACCAGACCCCAGGAGGAAACCACGTCCAGATCACAACAGATGTCTGCATCCCTCCTGTTATTAAAACTTCAAAGTATCTACTTCCACTTTACAGGAACTTTTATGAAGCATCTGAAGACTCTTGTATATAACACATTGTGTAGTCCATGAGAGCTCATAAGTACACATAGACAACCTCTTACAGCCACATACATGTCCCTTCCACACACTGAAGTAGCAAAACGACCATACTCATTAATACCAAAAGATAGAACCACTATATAACCTATTAAAGTCCAGGTTAATAGTCGTAGATCAGTAATAGAGTACTTGCCTAGCATGTGCAAGGTCCTGGCTTGAATTACCACCACTACAAAAAATTAATTTTAAAAATTCAATGTATGTGTATGAAGTATGCATAGTAGCCACTACTGGTTTAGGTATTTTATATTAGGAATTACCAAACATCCAAACTTTTTTTTCTAAAGATTTTGTGTGTGCGTGTGTGTGTGTGTGTGTGTGTGTATGTGTGTGTTACTAGCAACTGAGTGCAAGTCCTCATTGAGCTATATCCTTGGTCCTTTAAAGTATTTTTTTTTTAACTTTGAGACAAGGTCTTCTAAATTGCTTAGACTGGATTTGAACTTGCAATCCTGCTTCAACCTACCAGAATGCTGAAATTACAGGCATGTACTACCTTTCCCAGCTAAAGATTATCAATTAATTGAATAAATGCAGCTCAGGATCTTAAAGTCAATATGTAAATTGTCATACTGCAGACATACTCTTTAGCCAGGTGTGGTGGAATTTTAGACAATTAGGTTAGTTAGATATTAGAGGCAGTTAGGCAGTGCCGGGCCCTCAGCACAGGAGTCGAGGCACATTCACTGAAGGCCAGGCTTCAAGAAAAAGAGGTTTGCCTACACTCAGATACTTCCCGTAGGGGTGAACAGCAGTGATTGAGGATCACCTTAGGTGGGGACCAAACCTCCCAGCCCATTCCTTCCTCGAAACCCTTGTTCATTGCAGATATGCATGCTACTTGACTTGTTTCCACATTTGATGCCCATTTCATCGTTATTACCTACTTGACTATACTTCTTTTAATCCTACTGGGTGACCATAGTTTTGTCCCACCTCATACCCACCTTGTGATTTCCCATTGGATCAATATTACATCACCTGTAATATTATTAGTTGACTATAGCTTTTTGTGTTTTTGCTTTGTTTTTTGTTTTAGTTGACTATAGTTTTGTCCCACCTTGAACCTGCCTCACTTCAAGGCTTTGCTCAATAAAACACCTTTGAGGGCGGGGGATTTAACTCAGTGGTGCCACTGCCTGCCTTGCAAGCCCAAGGTCTTGAGTTCAGTCCTGGTGCCAAAACAAAACAAAACAAAAAATACCTTTGAGAAGCAGGATCTGCGGACACCTCACTTTCCAGACACTCTTCTATCTTAGAAGCTGTCTTTCAATAAATTCTCCCAACCTCTGTTGTTCCTAGAATTCATTCTTCAATTTTGGAGAACACAAACTCAAGTTTCAGATATTTAGCAAGTTGGGAGTTATATTTCCCATATATTATTTGGAGGTCTATATATCATACACCCTATATCACTGGCACGTGTCTGAAATCCCAGCACTCCGGAAGATTTAAATTTGAGGGTTTCAAAATAAAAAAGTGCTGTGACATAGCTCAGTGTGTGGGTTCAATCATTATCACACCAAAGGAAAAAAAAGTCAAGAGAACATAATATGCTCATGATATTCTTGAAGTATGTTTGTTTTGTGACAAATTCTTACTATGTAGTTTGGAGTGACATGAACTCATTATGTAGCCCAGGCTGGCCTTGAACTCAGTGATCCTTCTGTCTCAGCCTCCTTCTGATGTGCTAGGATTGCAGGTGTGCACCACCACACCTGGCATTACTCTTTGTTAAAATCTGTCAGATTTGTAAAACATTTAAATAAAATTATTTTTTCCTTATCCTAGATATTACTAAATATTATATAGGAACAATATAATCTTATCAGATTAAATACATATAATAAGTGTAGACAGTACAGATTAATAATTTTCTTCATGAGGGCCAGGGATTTAGCTCAGTGGTTCCACTGCCTGCCTTGCAAGTGCAAGGACCTGAGTTCGGTCCCTGGTACCAATAATAATAATTTTCTTCATGAGAAATAAATCCAAGTTATTATTATTTTTGTTTGTTTTTTTTGAGACAGGGTCTCACTACGTAGTTGAGACTGACCTGGAACTCACTATGTAGCCCAGGCTGGTCTCAAACTCACAGTGATCCTCCTGCCTCAGCCTCCCAAGTGCTGGGATTACAGGTGTTGGGTTACTAACAAAGTAAACATTTATTTTATCCACTTCTTGCGTCTCTACGTGTGTCATTTACCACTTCCTTCCACAACACTATTGTAGACAAGTACATTGGTGAAAGTGCTCATTTGATTAGAGAAATGTTTAATTATGTGAGGGACCATCAGCCACACATCATTTTTATGGATGAAACAGATGCTATTATTGGTGGTCATCGGTTTTCTGAGGGTGCTTGAGCTAACAGAGAGATTCAGAGAACTTTAATGGAGTTACTGAATCAGATGCACGGATTTGATACTCTGCATGGAATTAAATGATCATGGCTACACACAGCCCAGATACCTGGGGTCCTGCACTGCTACGTCCAGGATGATTAGATAGAAAAGTACATATTGACTTACCAAATGGACAAGCAACAATGGATATATTGAAAATCCACGGGAAATAGATTAGGAGGCAACTGTGGAGCTTTCCGATGGTGTTAACGGAGCAGAGCTGAGGAACGCTCCTGCTGAGGCAGGGACGTCTGCACTTCATGCTGATCCCGAGTTTGTGGCTCAGGAAGACTTCGTGAAGGCAGGCAGTCAAAAAGTGACTGATTCTGAGAAGCAAGAGTCGAAGTTAGACTATGAACCTGTGTAATCTGCTATACGGTTGATTTGGTTTTTGTTTTGAGGCAGGGTCTCACTATGTAGTTGAACTCACTGTGTAGCCCAGGCTGGTCCCTCGAACTCACAGCGATCCTCCTGCCTCAGCCTCCCGAGTGCTGGGATTAGAGGTGTGCGCCACCACGCCTGGCTTATTATAAGGTTTTGATGGCTGCATGACAGATACCAACTGAATGTGAAAAGGAAGTTAAGGAAAATAATGTGTGTATTGGCAAAGATCTCATTAAAAGCGTATGAATGAAATGTATGTGAATAAAATAAAAACTAGTATGCAATTCAACTTTTAAAATTGGTACAGAAAAAATGTGTATGTTCATGTTGCATTTATTGCAGTTATGAGTATTAAAGCTTTTCATATTTGCAGTGTGAACAGTTTGTAAAATGTTAAAAATGGTTTGAAATGGTAAAAAAAGCTTTGTTTCCATTTTTACTTTTTTTCTTGTCCTTCTCTCCTCTCTCTCCCCCTGCTTTGTTCCACCCTTCCCATGTGGTACCTGGGATCGAACTTGGGACCTTGTGCTTGTGAGGCAGGCGGCGGAACCACTGAGCCAAATCCCCGGCCCCACACCCTTCCCATTTGAACACTGTCTTCCCATTTCCTAATATCTATTATCATTTTAGTCCTTATTTCCACTTTCAGTTTCTCACACCAAAAGAACTACACAGTATTTAAACACGTGTGTCTGACTTATTCCACTTAAGAGTGTGGTCTCCAGGCGCATCCATTTACCTAGAAAGGTCTCAAGCTCACCCTTCTGTATGGCAAAGTAGTGCTCCACTGTATTAAAAAACTTTAACTATTCATTGGTTGATGGGCATTTGGGCTTTTTCCAAGATTTAACTTACAAATTGTGCCAATATAAATATGGGTGTGCATATATCACTCTGCTATGATGATTTTCATTCATTCCAGAAGATACCAAGCAGGGGAAGAGCTAGGTCAAATGGAACTTCTAGTTTTAGGGTTTTTTTGAGGAATCTCCACACTGATTTCCACAGTGGCTGCACCAGTCTGCACTCCCACCAGCAGTGGAGAAGGGTTCCTTTCCCCTCCAGCCCCTCCAGCATTTCTCTCTCTCCCTCCCTCTCTCTCTCTCTCTCTCTCTCTCTCTCTCTCATCAGGGATCAAACTCAGGACCTTGCACTTCTGAGGCAGACTGCGGCACCACTGGGCTAAATCCCCCGCCCATCGGTTGATTTCTTGATAGCAGCCATTCTTTCTGGAGTGAGATCGAATTCAGCATTGTTTAGCTTTTATCTCTTGAATGACCAGTGAGGATGAATGTCTTTCATATATTTATTAGCTGTTTCTACTTCTTCATCTGAGAAGTGTCTATTCATTTCAGATGCCCATTTTTTGATTAGGTCTTTAAGGAGGGGGTTATCTGATTTTTTTGAGTTCTTTATATATTCTAGGTAGCTGTCCTTTTTCTTGTTTGTTTTTTCTATTTTGTTTGTTTTGTTTTTGATACAGGCTCAGTGCGCCACCATGACCAACTATTGGTAGTTTTTAAATTACATCTTCAATTTCATTGAGTGATATTTGTTTATTTAGAATTTTTATATCCTCTTGATTCAGCTTTGATAATTCATATGTATCTAGAAATCTGTCCATTTCTTTTTTATTTTCCATCCTAAAAAGAGAAAAGGAAGCTGGGCTTGGGGGTGCACACCTGTAATCCCAGCACTCGGGAGGCTGAGGCAGGAAGATCGCTGTGAGTTTGAGACCAGCCTGGGCTACATAGTGAGTTCCAGGTCAGTCTCAACTACTTAGTGAAACCGTGTCTCAAAAAGACAAAACAAAACAAAAAAGAAAGAAAAGGAAAAAAATGTCCAATTTAAGGCGTTTCACTGCTGTCACTGGTAGACAGAGTCCAGAGCCGAATTGATTCATCCCAGCAAACGAGCCATAGCTTTACTGTGGTGGGGTAGTGGGTGATCCCAGCCAGTCTGTACCTTTAGTTCCACTGAAAGTCAGGCTGGTTTCTGTCTACGGTGCTAGGACCAGATTTTTGGAGCCTGCAGCAGTCCATGTGTCTCCTGCCCGCTTGAATTTGGCTCCCTGACTTCCCGATGACTCGACCTCAGCACCCTCACCAAGATACCAGGAGCCACTAGATGGAGTCAGCCTGCAGCTGTTCCGAGTTCAAGCTCAGTCGGCCCATCTCAAGACGGTTACTGGCTAATCACCCTCTCCTGGGTGACTGCGGAACCCAAATAACTCACCAGCCGCTGCAGTCCGCTGTGTCCACCGCTCCGCCCCACTGGCGCGTTTCTCCACGGACACCTCTGAGGTCTCCAGGAGTCACCTTGCCTCTGAAGGTCTGAGCTGCCGTCCTCACGCCATGCGTCTGAGCTCGAGACGGGCTGCTTACTAGCTCCCTCCGCTTCATTAAAGCCTGTCTCTCTCTTCACTCTCCCTGTGGACATGAATTCTCACATCAGATCCTGCCTGGGTCCCAGGGACCCACTTCCCTCCTTATTCTCTTCCTCATGCCAGGACACCAAATCTTGGAGAGGCTCTTTCGGTGCTGCTCACCACTCTGCCATCTTCCTGGAAGAAGTTTTTGGTAACGATGAATAAATTTATATTAAACATTTGTGGGTAAATACTTAGGAATAGATTTGCTGGGTCACGGGGTAGATGCATTTTTAATTTTACACTAATCCATTAAATTATTTCAATAGTACAAATTTTGCATTTCTACTACCAGTGTATGAAGGTTTACACCAGCCTTAGTATCAACAGTTTTGTTTTTTAAATAATTGTAGCAATCTAATAGTTATCTGTTAGAGAGGAAAGCACCCCCCTACATAGAATTGGGCAGCTGTGGAGTAACTGTGTCACTGGACAAGCATGGGTCAACTAAGTAACTCTGCTCTTTGTGGAACGCACCTCAGTGGCCCTGGCGACTGCCACGCGTCACCACAGGAGCTAATGGGCTCGGAAAGTGGGCTCGGAAAGTCCTGCCGGAATGCTTTGCTGGTCCCCTCTCTGCTGCTCTGCTTTGTTTAAATTCTGCTTGCTATATTCCTAGGGAAACTCCAAAGAAAGTAAGCCCCATCAATGTAGAAAGAAGTATATAAAGAAGAACAAGAAGAAAAAAAAAAAGAATAACAAACTTCTCTGCGGGCCTCTGGAGACTGGCAGGACTCCTCTCCTGAGCCCCCAGCATTAAAAGCCTCCTTTTGGTCCCCACTCCACGTCTGAGTGCTGTTGGGAGTCTCCCAAGGTTTTCCGCTGCATTAGTATCTCATAATGGTTTTATTATTCATTCATGCTTATTTGTATTTCATTCTTTGGTGATATGTTTATTAAATTTGTTAATTTTAACATTTTTTGTTTTCTTAATGTTAAATTGTAAAAGTGTTTTCTAGGAAATGCAAATCCTTTGTTGGTTTTAAAAATAATATAAAGTTATAAAAAGAGGCAGCACCTTTTTTGTTTGTTTTTTTGACACAGGTTCTCCCTGTGTAGTTCAGGCTGGCCTTGTACTCACTATATAGCCCAGGCTGGCCTCAAACTCACAGCGATCCTCCAGCCTTAGCCTCTTGAGTGCTGGGGTGACAGGAGTGTGCCACCATGCCCGCTATAAGACTTTTACCAGATACATGTTTTTCAAACATTTTTGGTTATTTTTTGGCTTTCCCTCCATTCTTTACATTTTTACTTTTAAAAATAGAAAAAATTTCCAGGCACTATGATGCACACCTGTAATCCTAGCTATTTAGGACGCTGAAACAGTAGGATGGTAAGTTTGAGGCCAGCCAGGACAAATTAGTGAGACCGTTTCTCAAAATTAAAAAACAAAACAAAACAAACAGCAAATGGAAAGAGCTGGAAATGTCCCCCAAAATTAAATAAACACATAGATTAGGGCTGGGATGTATCTCAGTGGCACTGCACCTGCCTGGCAAGCACAAACACAAAGTTCCGAGTTCGCTCCTCAGTACCAGAAAAAAAAATACAAACAAACAAACAAAAAAAAAGAAAAAGACATAATTAATTAATTTTGATAAACTTTAAAAACATTTGTTCTTTTTTTTTTTGGTACCAGGGTTCAAAGTTGGGTCATTTTGCTTGCAAGGCAGGTCCCAGAACCACTGAGCTAAATCCCCAGCCCTTGGACATTTGTTCCTTTTAAGTATTATCTAAGAAACAGTTTCCTAACTCTCTGCACTGAGCAACATTCCCAGCTCTTTTTATGTTTTATTTTGGGACAGGGTCTTGCTAAATTACCTAGGCTGGCCTGACCTTCTGACTCTCCTGCCTCAGCCTTCTGAGCAGCTAGGGTTACTACTGCACCTAGCTTAGTTTTAGGTCTTTTTGATTCATGTTCCATTTGCAGGTAATCTTTTTTTATACGAGGCCATATGTGACCCAGTCTCTTTTCTTTTTCTTTTCTATTTTGTACGTGGTCCTTGGTTTAGTCAGCATCATTCTCTAAAGACAGTACTGATACCCATGTGTACTGGGTTCCTTGTTCTACGAACATCAAAGACTGAGGTCCTGAGCCAAAGGAAGTGGTTAGGAGAGTTTTACTGGAAATAGGAAGAGCCACCCTTACACTCCAGGAAGGTCCCAAATGCATGGCCGGACACCCCTTCCCCATCTAGAGCTAATTACAGGTAAGCAGAGGATGGGAACTACTGTGTTATTTAGTGCTCAGCTATCACAGGAGGCCCTGTGGATTTAAAATGACCAACTGAGACTCAGGCTTTTAACCGGCTTATTCAACAAGGAGGGTTTTCAGGAAACTGGGATCCTAGCAGAAACTGTTAATTTGCATTATAATTTCCTGGAGATTCGGGAACTTGGTAGGGTGGCTGCACTTCCTTTTATAGGGGGCAGGCTGAATTCCATGCTTGCAATGGATTTTAAATACTCAAAACTCTGGCGCTAAGTAAGGAGCGACTGCAACTGCCTCTAGTAGGGAAAGGGCCGCCTCCTCTGCTCCCTGAAGAAATTCACTCTTTGTCCAAAGTCCTGCTTCACCGTCCATTCTTAGTTTTTATCAGTGTGACTGGTCAACGAGCTTCATCTCAGGCCCTCCGCTGGGCTCATACGCTAACTATATAAACTATTTTCTACAGCACCATCTGTTCATTGCATTTTCTTGACAAATTTTTCAGAAATTAGTCAACTATGTATGTGTCACAGCAATTAAAGGTAAGAAAAAATACTTTTCATACCTAACTTCATTTTTTATCATTCCCACCCGCTCCACTTGTTGCTGCAGAAAGAGTTTTTGAGACTCATGTTTCAGTCTGAAGAACTTCCTCTACCGTTTCCGGGTAAGGCAGATCTGCTGCAATGAATTCTCCGCTTTTGTTTGGGATTAGCTGGGCCTGGGTTTGTCGCTCCTGAGGTTCCCTCGCCTGCTTCCCCGGGACGGTTATCACCAAGGTTTCGGCTGGGTGTGGCGGGGAGGCGCCGCCTGGGCTCCTCAGAGCAGAGCTGGAGCTTTCTTCTCTTCCCTCCTCTCGAGATCTTTTTGGTTCGGAGACGGAACTCCGGACCTTGCGCTTGCGAAGCAAGTAAATCCCGGGTTCTAAAGATCTTAGTATCAAGGAAAGATGCTTTGCTTAAGGACGCCCCCAGCTGTCCCACAGGGGCAGTTTTTTCTCATACTCTTCTGCTGCAGCAGGTTTTTTGCTTGTCCTGGTATTGAGAAAGTTTCTCGTCTTTGCCAAAAAGCAGGTTATGCTTCTAGTCCTCCCCTACAAGCCACTGTTCTTCGCTCAGGGCCAGGGTTAGGAGTTTACTAGTCCTCGGCCCAGGATTTAGCTCAGTGGCACTGCACCTGCCTGTCAAGCGCAAGGTCCTGAGTTTGATTTCTAGTAAAGAAAGAAAGAGAGGGGAGAAGGAAGGCAGGGAAGAAAGGAAGGAGAGGAAGGGAGGGAGGGAAGGGAGGAATGTACTAGTCCTCCAGATGGCGAGGATCAGGGGTCAGAAGGCTGCACTTCGAGCTCGTCCCTAGAATCACGGGAACATGTGCACCCCTGGTTCAGCTAGTAGCGGTCTTCTTTCCTGCCCGTCGCTCTTGAGCATCCAGTACAGCGCAGACTCGCCTTGTGTCCAAGGCCTCCACCTCTGACAAAGTGACGCACTATCCACAGTTGGCCACTTGTTTACTTTGTTTTTTTGAGAAAAGGTCTCACTATGTAGTTCAGGCTGGCCTTGAACTCACTAGCACAGGCTGGCTTCAGACTCACAGGGACCCTCCTGCCTCAGCCTCCCAAGTGCTGGGATTACAGGTGTGTGTCACCACACCTGGCTAGTGTTACTTTTTTGAGGAATCTTCATACTGGTTTCCACGGTGCTTGTACTAGTGTAAATTCACATGCACAATGTAAAAGGGTTCCTTTATCCCCACAGCCTCACCAGTATTTATTTAACTTCCTGATAAACTTTCTTGCTGGGAATTTTAAATTGGATTCTCTAAAGGAGAGTGATGTTGAATTTTTTCATTTACTCACTGGCCATTTGTAGCTCTTCTGAGAAATGTCTTTGTTACAGTTACCCAGTTTTTCAATGCTCTTTTGTTTTGGGGAATCTAGTTCTGTGTCCAGCACGCTGGGTATACTGTGGTGAAACATGAGCCGCAAGGGATTTGGACAGCCTCATCCCTAAGGCAGTGCCAGTTGCAGCCCACATTCCCCGTCTTTTGGGATGGTTCTGCTGTCAATGGCTTTCCTCAGCAGACATTTCATGTTCCCGGCATCTCTGATTTCCTGGGGTCTCTGCACTGTTGACTTCATCTTCACAGCTTTGGGTACTCCTCTCTCAAGAGCACACTCTTGAATTCTCCATACCTACACGCACGTGGATGATGCCAAGATCTGTAACAAGGGTGAACAGCAGCTGGGCCCAATTAGATCATGCCTGCAGAAGCTTCTGAGTGCCTGGATGGCTGGACACTGAAACAATCTCAGGAAACCAATTCCTTAGGCGATCCTTCTTGAGCAGGGCGCCGAGTTGCTCTCTTCTCCATGAAAGCTTTACAGTTTCGCATCCTTAAACCTCCACATGCAGGGTTATACTAATTTGTGAAATGCCTTTAAACCATCTTTCCTATCATTCTGTTGCAAAGTACTTGGCTTTTTAAAAAATGCTAATCTTTTCGGCAACCTTGCTGTCCATAACACCAACTTTGTGGGTGCTTCCTTTCTGATGAAACTGAACTTTTCACATCTGCTGTTTTGCTCCTGGTTTTCACTGTGGGCTGCAACTGGCCAGGCTATGGGGGCGGAGTATGGTAACTCTTTGGAGCTCACATGTTTGTAGATTACTGTATACCCCAGATGCCAGCTATGGAGCTACAGGACTTAAATCTTTGTCCTGCTGTGTTCACATCTTGCTTTTGGTCAATTTTCTGTCCTCCCATTCTGCCCTTTTGGCATGGGAATGTTTACCCTGTGACACTGTAGCTTGGGATTATGTAACTTGTTTTTTACTTTTACAGAGGCTCACTGCCAAGAGTTTGCTTTGAGTATCAGAAGAGACTGGGACTTCTGAAAAATGCTGGAACCACTGAGACTTTGGGGAAGGATTATTGCTTATCTGGCCATATGTGAGATAGTATGTTGGGCAGAATTATAAACTTGGTATTGTCTCTATTTAGAGAGTAAGTGTGGTTTGAGGAGATATGTTTGGATATGACATTGACAAGGGGTGGGATGCGGCTGTTAGGGCACAGCTTCAACTCGTTTGCTTTGGGATCCACCTAGAAGAGGTGTGTCTGAGTGGGTCGTGGAGATATGGCCTTGAGGTCTAGGTCTGGCCTCTTTGTCCCTTCTGCTGCGGCACTGTTCTCCTGCTTTGCTCTCTCCCTGCCATGGACAAGCAGTTTTGTTCCATTTCACCCTTCTGCTTTTACATCTCTGCTTTGGAGCCAGCCAATCACAAATCACCTCTCTTCCCTTAAGTTGTAAGTGCTTAGCAACAAGAACTCTAACTCATATAGGTAGTATAGCCTTTTGTTTTTCTTTGAGACAAGGTCTCACCATGTAGTTTGGGCTGGCCTGAGACTCACTATGGGGCCCAGGTTGACTTCACGGTGATCTTTCTACTTCAGCCATCCAAGTGCTGGGATTACAGATGTGCACCACCATGCCCAGCATTTTTAGGAGACAAGGTCTCGCTGTGTAGTCCAGGCTGGTCTTGAACTCACTATGTAGCCCAGGCTGGCCTCCAATTTGTGGCAATCCTCCTGCCTCGGGCTCCTGAGTCCTGGGATTATAGGGATGTGCCACCAAGCCTGGTTTATGGCCATTTTAATGATGAATCAAATTTCCCCGTAAGGTCAACATTGAACCTAACCAGTGAATTTGATTCCGTTCTCATCCAGTTTGGGATATGACCAGGACTGTGGAAAGAATTAAGTTCACGAACCAAAGTACTGCCATACATAATTAAACTTGATTCTTTTCAATCCCATTCCCGTCTTCACCCACTTTCCTCCCTCTGTCTCTATTTTTTGTTTGTTTTGTTTTTGGAGACAGAATCTCGCTATGTAGCCCAGGCTGGCCTCCAGCTCACAGCAAGCCTCCTGACTCAGCTTCCCCAGTACTGGAATTATACCACCACACCTGGCCTCTCTCTTTCTCTAAATCCCCTTTGCCACTTTCTTCTTCTTGTGTTTTGTTCACATTCATGACATATAATGTTTACATTCATTGTGAGTATTTTGCATTTACATGACACGTTTTAAATCTTTTTCCTTCTTCTCTTCCCTCCCCTCCCCCTTGGTCTCCTGGACCCCTTCCTATTTGCAAAAGATGTCTCCCTGTTTCCTTCTATCCATTCTGTATTTTGCTCCTCTTTTGTATATTGCCTTTCTGAAATGAGAGATACCATACAGTATTTAAGATGGGTGTCTATTTCACTTAACATATTTTCTAGGTGTATCTGTTTTCTTACAAATGTATCCTTCTTTATAGCTGAGTAGTATTCCATTGTGTTTTGTTTTTTGTTTTTTTGAGACAGAGTCTCACTATGTAGTTGAGACTGACCTGGAACTCACTATGCAGCCCAGGCTGGTCTTGAACTCACAGTGATCCTCCTGCCTCAACCTCCCAAGTGCAGGGATTACAGGCGTGCGCCACCACACCCGGTTTCCATTGTGTATAGATACATTTTCTTCATCTGTTTCACTTTAGAGATATTTTACTTCCTTGGTTGGATTTACTGCAAGTTTTTTTTAAGGCTATTGTGAATGAGATTGTTTTCCTGCCTTTCCCCCCACCCTCAGTGAGTTCCTTATTAGTGTATAAGAAAGCTACTGATTATTTTGTAGTTTTGTATCCTACTTTTCTGAGTTTATTAGTTCTAGGAGACTTAGTGGGCTCTTTGGGGTTTTCTAGGCATACAATCATATCATTTGCAAACACTAAATCTGACTTCTTTCCTATTTATATGTCTTTTGTTTCTTTCTCTTGTCTGATAGTTCTGCGAAGTTTTCCTTTACTATCCTGAATAAGAGTGATGAGATGAAGGGCCGGGGATTTAGCTCCGTGGTTCCACCACCTGCCTCGCAGGCACAAGGGCCTGAGTTCGATCCCCAGTACCAAAAAAAAAAAAAAAAAAAGAGGGGTGACATGTCTTGGTCCCAACTTTAGAGGAAATGCTTTTGTTTTTCCCATTCAGTGTGATGTTGGCTAGGGTTAGTCACTTATCTCCTTTATTATACTGAGGTATGATACTTCTATACCTAGAGTATTCGGGGTTTTATCATGGTGTTAAATTTTATCCAAGGCTTTTTCTCCATCTTTTGAGATGATGTGAGTTTTTTCCTTGATTCTATTTATATGAATTATTTATTGATTTGTCTATCTTCAACCAACCTTGTATCCTAGGAATGAAACAAACTTGATTATGGTGTGTGATCCTTTTAACATGATGCTGAACTTGATTTACAAGTATTTTACTGAGGAGTTTTGCATCTAAAGCCATCAAGAGAAAAAAAAATAAAGCATCAAGAATATTAGTTTAAAGGTTTGTTTTTATGTCCTTATGCAGTTTTGGTAGCAGGGTAATTACTGCTTTTGTAATATGAATTTGCAAGAGTTCATTCTCTTCTATTTTATAGAATATTCTGAGGAGCCTTGGTTTTAGGTCTTTTTCAATAGCTTATTAAATTCAGCAGTTAGTATGTCCAGTCGTGGGCTTTTCTTTGTTGTGTGACTTTTTATTACTGCTTTAATCTCATTGCTTGTAATGGATTAATTATATAATTATGTTATTTATATGCTCTTGCCTTGATTTTGGTAGGTCATATGTGCCTAGCAAATGAAAAACCACTGCTATCATGTTAGCCCCATCTCTTCCTGATTTAGAGTGCAAGGTATCAATTCAATTGGAAGTAGGCTTTTGATTTTTCTACAGTTCTTTCTCAAGTAATACAGCAGCAGAGAGCAATCCCAGCTAGGCTCCTGGCTTAAAACACTGCGGTTAGTTGGCTCCTTTTCTATGCGTGATTTTCCCCTCCTTTTTTTTAGTACTGAGAATTGAACCCAGTACTGGGTTTTTTGTTTGAGACAGGGTCTCACTATGTAGTTCAGACTGCCCTGGAACTCACTATGTTGCCCATGTTGGTCTTGAACTCACAGCGATCTTCTTGCCTCAGCCTCCTGAGTGCTGGGATTACAGGCGTGCACCACAATGCCCAGCAGTACTGTTTTTTGTTTTGGTTTGGTTTTTTGCTTGTTTTTTAATTTTTTGGTGCTGAGAACCGAACCCAGGGCCTCTTGCTTGCTAAGTACTGGGTTTTTTTAGTACCGGGAATTGAACTTCACACTGAGCTACATCCCAAACCCTTATTTTTTGAGATTGGGTATTACTAAATTGTCCAAGTTAGGCTCTAACTTAGGATCCTCCTGCCTCAGCCTCCCAAAGTGTACGGATTATAAACATGGGCCACCACATCTGGCTTTTTCTACACACCACGTAAAAATATCAATCATATTAAATGCTGA